TGCTGCGTTAATTAAGAGGAATTAATCATACTATTGCTATAAGGAGGCTAATAATTATCTGTTTCATCTGTTCATTGTAATTGCACTTAGGCATCACATTTTAATTAGATTAAGTGGTAATTCTGTGTTTGGCTGGCTGAATATTTCCCACAGTAAATTATCATTAAATACTAGCAAAAGGCAAGCACCAACCTAGCTTGTGATTGTATGGCCTCACATTGTAGCCGTCAGTGAAGTCAGCGTGTGCTGAATCAAGTAAAGTATTCATTGAGGAAGTACAATCACATGTTAGGTGGGAAAAGTTCTTAAAAAAGTACAGAAGCTTTGACAACGGTGTATTAATAACTTTGTTTTGTTGTTGCTGCTGATATTCATGCTTTGTCAGTATATCCTGCTGTTTTCAGGGGGAAAGACAGTCGGTAACCCTCGAAATGAATCATTTAGAGTACAGAAGTGATTTTACTTTGTCAACAGTACTGCTAAGGCTTTCTGCCTTTCACACAAAAATGACAAAAAGAAACCTCAACCCATTATGCATTTATAGCCAAGTCTCTGTCTCTCTCTCTCTCTCTCTTCTCTCTCTCTCACTCTCACTCTCACTCTCTCTCACACACACACACACACACACACACACAACACACACACACACACACAGGTTGCCTTTATTTGACAAAGACAGCTGAAGTGAGATAGGAGGAATGGGATGACATGCAGCAAAAGTCTGCGGGTTGGAATCAAACCCAGTCTGCTGCAGTAAAGACTCAGCCTTAGTACATGGAGCGCCACATCCATAATGTATTTTATATCCTGTCTGCGTGGTTCACTGTGGTAAAGCAGTAAAATGACACATTTGAGTTGTTGCGCTGTGTGGGTCATACTGTCAGGTTGCGAAACACTTATTAAAGATTGCTCTCATGCATTGCCTAACTCTGGAACACAGTTCATTATCAGTTTCATTATTCAGTATCAGTGTAGTTGCTTAGACTTTTTCAAAGATGTTCTGCGTGTTTGTAGCGCAGTATCTGTGGAGGGAAAGCCAGCACTCCTTGCCTCTCCTTTAACTTTCTATAGGTCTGCCATATTCACAGTGCATTAAGAGCACTGTCCTGCTAGAAAATCAATAATTTCCCCACATTAAGTCTGATTGGATGGCATGTCTTTACAGAAGAAGGTAGTCCTTGCCTTAAGTCACTGTGCACATCTCCAGCTCAAGACGTGGGAAACATAATATTCTGTGTTTAATGCACAGCTGCATTAACCTGCCCTGCTTTCTGAAAGCAGCTTTACACTTTTTTTTACTTTTATATGGCTTCTTTCAGTCAAAGTTTGATTATGTTGGGACATATTTAGCAGCCAAGCATTATGTACTACAATGCTTATCTCATAAGTAAGTATTGTAACACTGTTCACTAGAATCCAACATAAAAAAAAAACGTGTGTTACTAAAGTTTGTTCCCAGCAGCAGTTTTTAGCTTCTCTCCACTAAGATATTCGTTGTCCTTGAGGGCTGTGTGTCTGAGTTCCTCTCTTCTTTTTTTTCTCAGTCAGCTGGATAGCTTTTTGAACAGGACAAACCTTGTGACATTCAGCCAGCAGTGTGGTTTTGGTACAGCAGGCTGTACTGATAACTATAGTCGGCTAGGTTAGCGGTGCTGCCGGGCCAAAGATAAACTGAAAGAGGAGAGCATTTTCCCCACTGACTGTTTATGTGAGGTGTGGAGAAACAGCGAAGGAGTTGATAATTGTTGCACTGTGCATGAAAGCTTCTTAAGTTAAACCAGCTGTGTGACAGCTGACATAAAACAAAAGATCGGATCGGATCAATAAAGCTCAACATAGCCGTTACCGATCAGTTAAAAAATACCTTGATCGTTGAGATCGGATCGGGACATCCCTACTTTGTACATTTCCTTTCCATTCTTTAGGTTTACCCCTTGTATGGGGTCACCAATATGATCTTTGGAACATAAATCTTTCAGTGGACTTTCAGTATTGTCATGACGTATAAAGGAGTTTAATTACCTTAGGTATGATTTTATATCAATTGGCCGTATTGTGACAAAAGCCCTTAACTGCTGTTTAGTGACCAACAGATCAGATTGGTTACATTGGGCAGCTTCCAGGCGATAATGTGTGTGTATAATCTGTATGTTAAATAACACATTGAGCATCCGTGGAAGACACATTTGACATCAAGCCATAATTTCACATAAGACAAATTGTAGTTTATAAAGCAGCTGATGCTGTGTGGGACAAATTATGAAAGTTTTTCTTAATTAATCTCCTGGGCCTGATTATATAGCTGCTGAAAGGTTAAAGTGTATATTCAGGGAACAAAAATGCTGTGGGTTAAGCCCCCTAGAGTCAAAAATCATTTTTGGAGTTTCACTGTGCAGAATGATGTTTGTGCAGAGTTTGACACTAGATGGATGTTTACAGATTCATCTGATGAAAATGTGCTAATTGAAAATCAAATTTTAAAGATTTTAAGAGCCTATGTACATGATTTGTGACATCACTAATAGTTTGGAAGTAAATGTTCAGGTCCAATGTTCAAAATATACAAGTGTGATGTAGAAATATGAAGCCACCAGTGCACATACACTGAATGGACTTTAGTGGAATAAGAGACCTCTCTTGTTTCTAGCAGGAAAACTTGAAAAGATAACTTCTTATGGCTTTTAATGTGAAAATTGTGAAAAACATGTTAGACTATTCGTACGTATGTCTTAATACTGAGGATGCACGCGACTAGTCAACTAGTCTGTTAAATGTCTCACTAGTTGACACCAGAAATACTAGTACAATGCTGGTTAATTGCGTCTTTACACAGCCACCCGCTACTGTCCAGATTGTCCCACTTACAAGTTATAGTCATAACATAGTCATTATCGCGGTCTGCTTTGGCATTCTACCAGCCGATTTCACTCTCTGCCTATCTAACTTCACACAACAAATTGGCTTGAGTTGGCAGTATTCAGGGGAAAGAGGATGGTGGGACTGGTGTTAAATAACCAGAGTATGGTAAGTTATGATGCTCTGAGAAACTATCCAATCACATTACAAAACAGCCGTCAGCCTCGCTGTATATGCTGACTGACAGCCAGTGTTTCTTTAGCTAATGTAGCGTTGGCTTACCCGCTCCCTGAAAGCTGTAACATTATCCGCTGTAACATCACATCAGCGCAGATGCTGTCATCTACATTTTGTCGTTCAGGTCACAAAGTTTATCCAGCCAGCATGATGAAGCAGTCATGAGTGATCTCTCTTTGCCTAATAACATGAACAGCATCTTCATTTGCTTTCTAATCATTCAAGGCATTTTCCGTATGTTATTTTAATAATATCCCAACACATTTACTGACATTTAAACTAGTGCTGTCAAAACTACAACACCACACCGGATCTAGCTAGACCGGAAGCACAACATCAGGCACGCCGCACACACTTGTTTAAGAGTAGTAGACGTTACGTTTTGAGTGGATGGAGAGTGCGAGACACCGAAATGGATGGATTCCTTGTTATCTGAAAATGTCAACAGGCTTGTCTGTTTGAGTAACTGGCTCAAAACAAAGAAGTAGTAGGCTTACCTTTTATTGGTAACCGTTACTGTTCACTCTTTCTGAAATAAGAGGCTGGGTTGAGCCTCTGGTGAAAAAAGAGCAGTAGCCTGACTGCTATGTTCAAAGCAAACTTGTATTAAGTATTAAGCCATGGTTTAACTGCACGATAGGCTGAGTCCTAGTTTACCTTACATGTGCACTTTGTAATTTGATTTTGTATCGCCCTGTTTTGATCCCTTAGAAAGGACTGTTGAAGGGGCTGTTTGTGTGACAAAGTATTTTTTTCACCCTTTTATTGATGGACAGTGTTACATTGTGTGAGACATTATTTGCTCCAAGTGAGAATGTCAGTGTGAAATTGAACACTACAGTATATGCCAATGATGTTTTCAATAAAAACAACATTTGCACAAAGCAAGCCGATCCACTTTTCCATGTTGATAAGAGCATTAAAATGAAAAAAAAAAATGGGACAAAAAGAAATCAAGGGACATTTAGACATGCATGTTACATGAATTAACTAGAGTAAAACCGATGCACCCAGTTTAGAGTACACAGTAAATATTGACCCCAGGTCCTCTAATTGATCATCCAATGCAGCTCACCCCTCATTACTGTAGGCAACCTCATAGCAGTGGACATGAAATCAATCTTTGAGCTGGGATATTAGCATTGCCCAGTCATTCCAGTAACTGAAGCAATCTGAACTGATGCACTTCTGATGACTCTGCAATTCGTAGATTATATTAGGGTCAGCACTTGCAGGTGTGACCAGTGGCTAACATCACTGTGTTTTGAAGTACTTACTCTGACCTTTCTGAAGAAACTTTGAATGTGCTCTCTTCAGTCAGTGCGGTGTTGCCACCAAGTGGGACTGCAGTACTCATGTGTAAGTCATTAGGTGGGATGTTTACTAGGCATGGTTGTATAATGAACAAGGAACATACAGAACTGGGGTCACTGTTAAGTTTTTTTTTTTCTCACTCTAAAATATATTTTTATTTTTTATTTGAAGTGAATTCAGAAGTGGTTTAACAACACTTGGTGCATGAACACATGAAATCACCGAAGTAAAAAATTACAAGTTTGCTCCACCCGACCAATGTAGAGTGGTTTTGGAGTAACACCCTTTTTCATACTCTTTATCACAGCTTTTACCTCCTTTTGTAGTGTATCTTTGCTGTGGGATGTGGTTGGAAGATGGATGAAGAACAGATTTTGATCAAATGTGACTTGAGTGCATCATGTTTTAGATTTGGATATGTGTCGCATTTAATTGGTGCTAGGATTTTCTTCCTCTCCTTTCAAAATTGACTTTTCTCACTGATATCTTTTTAACTCGCATCAGCTGAAACAAATTCATACTGTGCCGGATCAGGGTGCTAATAACCCTCTCTTTCTGTCTTTGTCTCCCCCTCACCCCTTCTGTCCATCTAGGTGCCCATGTGCTGGTTCCCTAGGCCCATCCATTACTGCAGATGAATCTTCAGCTGCTTTGGCGTAGCTCAGCACCCAGATAGTCCCATCCCCTTTGCGTGGGTGATAAGGGACTACATTTTACAGGATGCCCTCCTCTGTAAGGGCAGGGAGCCTGAAGGATCCAGAGGTGGCTGAGCTTTTCTTCAAGGAAGACCCAGAGAAGCTTTTCTCTGACCTCCGAGAGATTGGCCATGGCAGTTTTGGCGCTGTCTACTTTGTACGGCAACTACATCCTCACACTGATTCACACAACAGAGAAATTCCCTTGATCTTATCTGTGGATGGAAATGATATATGTTAATCAGGGATGCAATCAGTTAAATACAGAAAAAATGTCAGTTCTGCGTCAGTAAATACAGATTCTACACTGTAACATGGCGATCAATTTTGTGATCCAAATTTGTCTCAATATTTGATTAGCTGCTGTGTTCCTTTCTGTGAATAATACAGTCACTCAAGGCTAATTAAAGATAGCAACTGAATCAATTTGCTTGAATACATCAGTGGGTTTATAACGTGCCAGAGTTTGTCTCACAGTTATAAAAAGTGATGCTATTTGATCCTCAATAAAGAGCAGAAACGATTTGAACAAAGTTATTTTTTACAAGCTCATGATGGAGTTTAATAGCACCAAGGTACAGCGGAGTGCTGTGACTCACCCCAGCTGTCTGATCTGAGTTCTATACATGAACACTGCACGCAGTGTGGTTAAAAAAAAGTACAAGAGGTCTTGAAAAACCACATCCTCGATGAAATGCTCAAAATGTATACTGACACTGTATGTGACTGATGATCTGTGTTTCCCAGGCACGGGATGTGCGCACGAATGAGGTGGTGGCAATTAAAAAGATGTCCTACAATGGCAAACAGTCTAATGAGGTGAGACAAGATTGATTTATATTTACATAAAACTTCAGACTTCGACCCTAAACATTTTCACACCGTACATTCACCATTAACTCTTTATGCTGGCACTCATGGTGACAATATGAAACATGGCTTACTTAACAGTAGTTTGGCCTGGTTTCATCAATAAGGAGAATAAAGAAGCAGGCCTTGAGCTAAGCTGTTTACTCAGCAGCAGTTCAGCCAACTGTGGTTAAAAAGGAAGCCATTGTTTGTGTTTGAAATGCTCACATTTATAGCCTTTTTAAAATAAAATATTAATACATTACTTATATTTGGGGTATTAAGCTTCATATATACATTATATCATCATACAACAAATGTTCATGAATGCTGATATCAATCAAAATATTAACTTGGTCAGAAAAAGAACTGCTGGACTACAGTATTAATGTAGGGTGTCATTGCATTTCTGATTGAAAAGCACCAAACAGTCTGTCTTACACTCTCAATAAGGTCACCCCTGTGTGCTCATTTTCACTGTTGTCGTCCCAGATACAGTCACACTCTGCTCATGATTTCAGATTAGCTATAATCAGATTACACATAATCTGGGAAGAGAACCACCTTACCCCTATTTGCAGTGAAAGACAATCTTCTGCACACACATACAGTCACCTCTAGAGCAGAAAGCCAAGCGTTGCCTGATCTATTTTTAAGTTCCTTCTTTACCCAACAGAAATGGCAGGACATCATAAAGGAGGTGAAGTTTCTCCAGCGGATCCAACACCCCAACAGTATAGAGTACAAAGGCTGTTACCTCCGTGAGCACACAGCATGGGTGAGTAACTCGTATACACATGCAGAATGGGAAGATCTCTTACATGTTGCTCATTCTGAGGGGCTATATGTGTCTATACGTTTATTTATTGTCTCTAGCTGGTGATGGAGTACTGTCTTGGCTCAGCCTCCGATCTGCTTGAAGGTGAGTAGGTGTTTCACTTTTTTTAAGTCAGTGAGATGTAGAATGTGAGCTCACAGAAAGCAAACATGGACAACAATGTATCTTTTTCCTCCAGTACATAAAAAACCTTTGCAAGAAGTTGAGATTGCTGCCATTACACATGGTGCTCTGCAGGGGCTGGCCTACCTTCATTCCCACAATATGATCCACAGGTGAGCAAGCTTCTCGTAAACACTACTGTGTATCCCCCACATACGCCCTTGCTCTGACTCGCATATATGTTTTTCTCTTTCTCAGGGATGTGAAGGCAGGTAACATTCTGCTGACTGAGCCCGGGCAGGTCAAACTGGCAGACTTCGGCTCTGCCTCCATTGCCTCACCTGCCAACTCCTTTGTGGGAACGCCATATTGGTAAGTGAAAACTGAAAGAATTGAAAGTATTATTAGTCTATGTGTTGAAATACAAAATTTGACTTTTGACTATGAACGGTTGCTAGTTGAGTGTCTGCCTAAGGAAGCAGTAAAGTAAAAAACTGCCTGCTCATATATTCAAATTCAGGATGATTGACTATTTTGGTGTTATTTATGCTGCTGAGAAACTACTTAGATTAGTCATGATAAACACAATTATTTAATTCCCAAGTATAAAGTGACAGTGTCTTTTTAGTTCTGACACACACACACACACAAGTTATCTCTTTTTAAAAAAATAGTTTTAACCTGCTTTTTATTTGTTTTTCTCACCCCCCACTTTATGTTTTTCCTCCACTTCATCCAGGATGGCCCCGGAGGTGATTTTAGCTATGGACGAGGGCCAGTATGATGGGAAGGTGGATATTTGGTCCTTAGGTATCACCTGTATAGAATTAGGTAGGTGACAGTATGTGTGTATTGTGTCTATTAAAATGTAACTGCGGTAGAAAGAGTATGCTTCAGTACATAATCTGTGATCCAAATGTTACCAAATCATGACCCTGCCATCCATTCTGAACACAGGATTCGCAATCACTGATTCACAGGTCTATGAGGACTAACACCAGAAACTATATCTACTGAAATAATCTGATAGTCTGACAAAGCTTTGTTCGATGGATTTAGTTTAATTTAAGGTTTGGTGAAACAGTCATGTTTATGAATTCAGCAGTAAAATAGGCCTATATTTTAATTTATGATCAGTCAAGAAAGATAAATGCTCATCTTAACCTTTAACTCTTCAGTTAGTTTATATGTGAATAAACCTGTAATTTATTAAGAAGGAATGAATGTTGATTGTTGTCATTTCTGCTCCAGCGGAGAGGAAGCCTCCCTTGTTTAACATGAATGCAATGAGTGCCTTATACCACATAGCGCAGAATGAGAGTCCCACACTGCAATCCAGTGAATGGTGAGGTGTCACACAACACACACACTCACAAACACACACACACACACACACACACACACACACACACTCACACATTTACTTTCATGTAGCCCGATGACTCCTTTCTCTCTCTATATTTCATGATGTTGCACTGTCTAGTCGATGTCAAGTGTATTTATTGTTCCGATGTAATGGTGATAAAGATTTGTTTCTGCGATTAGCATGTTCAGAAATTCCTTGCTAACTGGCTAGCTTCTTTGTAAGTTGAACAGACATCACTGTAATTGTTTTGTATGTTTTGCACCTCAAATGATGATGTTGACTTTTGTTAAAGGCTAGCTGTAAAGGTGTGTGTTTTGTTTTGACCCTCTATCTTGTCATCTCTGTTCCAGGACGGATTACTTTAGAAACTTTATCGATTCATGCCTTCAGAAACTCCCCCAGGACAGACCACACTCTGATGACATGCTGGGTGTAAGTGCACGCACATACTGCACATTACAAACAAAAACCGAGCAGGGTCAGTGTGTTAAGATGGGAGATTGACATCTGGTGATAAATCTCTCTGATGTTTTTGCTCTGTTCTGTCCCCCATAAGCTTCTATTTTGATTCACTAATCCTCTACTTCCTGATTCACATACACACAATCAGAACATGTACAGACACACACACACACACACACACACACACACACACACACACGCACAGCTCGGTTTTGTAGAAAGAACACAGATGTAATTACTGTTGAGATGTGACTTCTGCATCCATCGTTAAGTAACTGAGCAGCTGTCACTTAACCCACTAATGGACTCAGTATTGCTAATGGAAGTTGTCCTCGGGGCATGGAAGCACTACACACTGTGTCTTTCTTTTTTAAAAGGCAAGTTCCAAAGCAGTACATTTTCTTAAACAAGTGTTACAATCTTATTTTTAGCTGCTTCTCAATGTGATCTTCTTCAAATCAACTTCTTGCAAAGTGCACAAAGAATGTTTGAATTTGTTCTGTCGATTTTAAAGATGAACATTTCAGCAACGCTTTTAGAGTCGAGAACAGTTTTATTGTGTTTTTCTCACAGTCATTCACCTCCGTCCTCTCCTCTCTTTCTGTGACTTCTCTATTTACAATGTTCTGTCTTTTCCTTCCCGTCACCCCTCTCCCCCTCTCCAGCATGCGTTTCTGCAGCGTGAACGTCCAGACTCCGTGCTGATGGATCTTATTCAGAGGACCAAGGATGCAGTGCGAGAGCTGGACAATCTGCAGTACCGCAAGATGAAGAAGATCCTGCTGCAGGAGGCCCACAACGGGCCCACAGCAGAAGTCCAGGATGGGGACGAGGTATGTGGATGTTTTTTTATGTTAAATCAAACTAAAGCTAAAATATATTTTTTTGTTTTGGTCTTTTTTTGATCATAGAAACACATTTGCCACTTTCATGGCATTCGGCATCAGAAAATAACTGAGCATGCATCGGTTTGTATGCATGTCTGTCTGTGTCCTCTGTGTCTCTTGTTTCTTTCTCTTCTTTCCTCTCTGGCTCCTTCTCTCTCCCTTGCTTGTTCCCTCTCTTCGCTCTTTCCACTTTGTCTCCAGGAGCTAGAGCCGGGAGGTGGTCGGACAGGAACGGTGAACAGTGTCGGCAGTAATCAGTCCATACCCAGCATGTCCATCAGCGCCAGCTCCCAGAGCAGCTCTGTCAACAGTCTGAACGAAGCGGCCCAGGACAGCCGCAGCGAGCTGGACCTGATGGAGGGAGACCACACAGTCATGTCCAACAGCTCCGTCATACATCTCAAACCGGTGGGTAAAGTAACACAGACATACCTGCTTAGTACTGCACCAATTTCACACATATAGAACAGTTTATAATAATGTCTTCTGTGGGTCTGGTGGGAGCTTTGTTTAGTCTGAGTAAATTACTTTAGTGGCATTAATTTATGAGTAACCCTGCATTGCAAATTGTAGACATCAAGTTTTAAAGACTTGGGCTATTTAGAGAAAGTTGGTATTGAGGTGCATTATGGGAAATCTAGGATCCAGTGGTTTTGGAGTTTGAAACCACACTAGGGACTTAAAGTCGGGAAATCTTGGCCTCTGCTGCATAAATTTTTTAAATAATTTAATTTATTTACTATTTTTTAAAATTAATTGTTTATTCTTATGGCTTCTCCAAAAAATTTAAAAGATTCTGTGATGTTTCTTTCACACTTTGGGGTACAAGGTACTTTCTGATTCTCTTCTGTTCCGTCTTGATCTCTTTCCCACTTCATCCAAAATCCTCTAATGCACCCAATTCTTTCATTTTTTGTATTTTAGGTGTACTGTTGCAAAAATAATATGTTTATTCCGCTGCCTTATGTCTCCAGGAAGAAGAGGAGAGTTTCTCTGGGGAGCCGGCAGCCACCAGTCAACCCTCTGAGCCGCAGCCAACACCTGCTCAGGCCCCAAGGAAGCACTACCGCAACAGAGAGCACTTTGCCACCATACGCACAGCGTCACTCGTGAGAACACATTTGCTTACTTCTGCATGCATCTCACTTACTTATCTCACTTGTATTTAGTTCTACATTTAAATAAGAAAAATTTGAGTAACAAGTCTTTATCCCTCCCTACAAACTCTCTCCTATGTCTGAATCTAAACGGACTCTGCTGATTCTCCCCCACGTCGACATCTTGCAGGTGACCCGTGAGATGCAGGAACATGAGCAGGACTCGGAGCTGCGGGAGCAGATGTCGGGATACAAGCGCATGAGGCGGCAACATCAGAAACACCTGATGGCCCTGGAGAACAAGCTGAAGGGGGAGATGGATGAGCACAGGCTGAGGCTGGACAAAGAGCTGGAGAGTCAGAGGAACAACTTCACCCAGGAGATGGAGAAACTGCTCAAAAAACACCAGGCGGCCCTGGATAAAGACGTATGTAGACAAACAATAAAGAAAACTACATGTACAAAATACTAATTCAAAGGAAAAATACAGTGGCCTACTGATACTTACTGTAATTAAAAATTCAGCTGTTCCATTTTTCAAAGAATGTTCCTACAACTGAAGCAAGTGCTTTTTTTTATTGTCTCTTTCTTTTGTGTTTGGTTTAGCTGAAGACGTTTACCAACGATGAGAAAAAGTTCCAGCAGCACATCCAGGTGCAGCAGAAGAAGGAGCTTAGCAGCTTCCTGGAGTCACAGAAGCGGGAGTACAAACTACGCAAGGAGCAGCTCAAAGAGGTAACACACTTGAACCGCACTGATGACCACAACCTATGATGATTTGTCTATGACTAAACTAAACATACATCATTAAGTATATACTTGGACTTCTTTAGATGTGTATTAAAGGTAAACACCTAATGCACTTTATATATGAAAGGCTGAACTATGTGTGTATGCCTGTATAATTTATCTTGTATTTTGATGGTATGTTTTTCTTGGTTGAGATTGTTTTATGTCCGTATTGTTGTGAGGATTGTGATGGGCCCAATGGGACTTCACTATTGATCATTGTTTTGAGTAATTGATCATTTTTTTCAAGCGAACGTTTTGACAATAAGCTACATCAACACAACGGTATGTGGAGTTAAACTGGACAGCCCCAATAACCTCTGAATAGTTATACTTATTGTTAAATTGCAATGTGAGCGGCAGCCAACGGGGATGCATTATGTCGGCAGGATCATTTAAAAGGCAACCGTGACTACATTGTGCGTCTGCCCCATTTCTGATACCGTGGCGGCAGAAATTTAACAGCGGAGGGCCGCCGCTCCAAAATCAACATAGAGGAAACACTGTATTGTGTTGTATTGTCTGACAAGCAGTCCTAGAATCAAGAGATATTCATTATCCTGTATGACAACAACTCATTAGCTGGAACCAAATGATTTTTTTGCATTTTTTGCTTAACAATGAATCAATCAATTTAGTTTTATATATCATTGTTCAAACTCTAGTCAGTATAATCATACCGCACAAAACAAACTCACAGGAAACTGTCTGTGTGTTTATTTGGACTTTTTATTTAGTAACAGAAAAATAAGAAATTTTTGAGCGCTTACCCTACACGTTTTAATATTTACAAATGTCAGTATGCTAAATGCTGACAAACTGTAACATCCATCAAGCTCAATTATGACAGTCCCCTGACAAACTGAAATAAAACTAAATAACACCTGTGTGGCAGGAACTGAGTGAGAACCAGTCGACTCCCAAGAAAGAGAAGCAGGAGTGGCTGTCCAAGCAGAAGGAGAACATCCAGCACTTCCAGGTTAGGATCTCTCACACAATAATGCACGCTTGCCAAGACCAAATGATGATTTTTTTACACAGGCCTGGCAATGAATTCACACAGTCGATATTGTTAAATATTATTATTTAACAATATCAATTAGTAGAACTTTATTTCACAGCCAAGTACTAACCACTCCTGTCCCTGCTTAGCTTCCAAAATGGAAACATTATTTCCTTTTTGAGTTGTGTTGAAATAAATCATATTAATACCACTTGGCGGCAACTTTCAGGCAGAGGAGGAGGCCAACCTGTTGAGGAGACAGAGGCAGTACCTGGAGCTAGAGTGTCGGCGGTTCAAACGCAGGATCCTCATCGCCAGACACAATGTGGAGCAGGATCTGGCCAGAGAGGTACTCAGTTGCTCTTACTTTGGTGTTTGACTTTATTTATTTGACTGCAGTCGCACAGCAATTTCTAATCTTTCTCAGGAGCTGAATAAACGGCAGACACAGAAGGACCTGGAACACGCCATGCTGCTCAGACATCATGAATCAATGCAGGAGCTGGAGTTCAGGCACCTGGGGACGATCCAGAAAGCGCGGGCAGAGTTGATCCGGACCCAGCACCAGACAGAACTCACCAACCAGCTGGAATACAATAAGAGGAGGGAGAGGGAGCTTAGGCGCAAGCATGTCATGGAGGTCCGACAGCAGCCCAAGAGCCTCAAGGTACATAGACCGATGGATGCAGTTCTGTATCTGACCCTAATATAAACCACACACACTCCTGTACCCAACACTTACAGCGGTTAAGCTTTTCCTTCCTTTCCTTCTTCTTCAGTCTAAGGAGCTTCAGATTAAGAAGCAGTTCCAAGAGACTTGTAAAACCCAGACCAGGCAGTACAAGGCCCTCAGAAACCATCTGCTGGAGACTACACCCAAGTCTGAACACAAGGCTGTGCTCAAGAGGCTGAAGGAGGAGCAGACCAGGAAGCTGGCCATCCTGGCTGAGCAGTATGACCACTCCATCAACGAAATGCTCTCTACACAGGCTGTGAGTACAAAACAAATTAAGCTAAACAGCAAAAGCAAAACTATTATTTACATCTTGAAATATCTCATTTAAGAACATATAAACAAGACTAAGACCAAGCATTTGATGATAACTTGTGACACTTGACAACTTTTTGTACCTGTGCAAGAGACAGTGGGTTTTTTTGTACGATGGGGTTAAGTGTTTGTCCTTTCTTGCCCCAGCATGTCCCAAAGTGAGAAAAGGTCTTTGTTAAACATTATTAGGTCCCACATGCTATTAGATGCAGGATATTTGAGTTCAATGTCCCTGCCAGTTATGAATATTAGTTATTCTGTATTAATGGCTTCCTGAAAGATCTCTTTTCCTTGAACAAATATATTGTATGTCACTGACATTGTGCAAAAAACAAACAACCATGGCAACATTTCTTATCTCTCTCTGTTTTTGTCCTCCTTACTCTTTTTCTTCCTCAGCTGCGGTTAGACGAGGCTCAGGAAGGCGAGTGTCAGGTTCTAAGGATGCAGCTGCAGCAGGAGCTGGAGCTGCTCAATGCGTACCAGAGCAAGATCAAGATGCAAACAGACGCTCAGCACGACAAGGAGAGGAGGGAACTGGAGCAGAGGGTCTCTTTGCGTAGGGCTCTGCTGGAACAGAAAGTAAGAAAGGCCCTGGACTTTGTTTGGTGTTGTCTATTGTCAGGATGTGTGTTAATAAATTTGAGTGACAGTAGACACTAAGGGCCGATTCAGACCCAATCAGGCGTTGTAGGAAGGAAGTAGAATCAACTTTTGGAGAAACGTAACCTGACGTCTGCCGATCAGACCGGTCAACCTGCTCCACACTGAGCCTGAAATATCACTGAAACATCCACTGTCCAGACTGAGTTCATGGACCAAATTATGATACTCTCTCAGCTGTGTTTATTTTGTGTACCCAGCTTCAACTTCTGTCTCTGGCTACAATCTATGCTGCAAAATAGCGATTACAAGAAGCTTCCTTAGGTTTGTTTGAGAGAAAAAAGAGCTGTGGTTGAGCTACATAGACAGTGGATGAGAGAGAGCGAGAGTGCCAGTAGAAAACCTCAGAATCAAAGAAATAAAATTGATTTTCTGATTGCTTACATCCCAAAGCGCACACACACACACACACACACACACCACACACACACACACACACACTACCGCCTGATGCTTGATTTGGCCTGAATACAAGCTAATACTGTGTTTTGAAGTTTGGTCATGGGAGTAGTACCCTTTTTGTTGATATTCACATACTCTGTCTTTAAGTTTAAGCCATTCAGCCCTTTCTTAGTTTCCTCTAATCATTTATTTTATCAGTATCAGCTGTATGTTCTCTACTTGTGTTTTAAGAGCAATAGTACATAGTATTGCAGTGTGTGTCTATTTGTTTTTTAAATTCTTATACTTATATTGTTCTCAGGGAAAACATTGTTCCTTCTTTTTGTCAATAATATGAAGAATCTAGTTGGGTGGTTAATTAAATGTTCTTTCAACCAATCAGCTCCTTTAAGAGCAGACAGATGGCAGAATTGTGCACTTGCCATTTATTTTGAACTCATTTGTTCACTGTTTATCTCCCCAGATCGAGGAGGAAATGCTCGCCCTGCAGAACGAGCGCCTGGAGCGGATCCGCTCCCTGCTGGAGCGTCAGGCCCGAGAGATCGAGGCTTTTGACTCGGAGTCCATGCGGCTGGGCTTCAGCAACATGGTCCTCACTAACCTGGCTCCCGATTCCCAGGGAGGCTGGGGGGGAGGGGGTGGAGGAGGCCACGGGGCTCAGGGGGGAGGCCACTGGCCTGGGGGAAGTGGAGGAGGCGGCCACCATAGTCATCACCACCAGGGGGGCTCCAGCTCACAGCAGCCCTGGGGTCACCCCATGCTGGCTGGGGGCCCACCGCCCTGGAGCCTCCACCACCCTGGAGGCGGGAGTCAGAGGGGGAGCGGAGGAGGGGCAGGAGGGGTGAGGAACAGCCCACAGGCTATGAGGAGGACGTCATCTGGGGGGAGGAATGAACAGGGCATGAGCAGGAGCGCCAGCATCACCTCTCAGATCTCCAATGGATCCCACCTGTCGTACACCTAGAACACACACACACACACACACACACACACAAGCAACACAGTAATTTGTCCTCAAGGAACATTCTTGTGAGCTAACACTGTACACACACACACACACACACCATGCATGCACCGCACATACTTTACATACACTTGTTGATGTCTTGACACACACTGCACAGTATAGAGATTGGGTTTACTTCAGCCCAGTTTCTCTCCCATCACCACTGCTCTCATACATCAGTGTACTGCTAGCAGCAGTTTGTGGAAACCCAAAAGTCTTGAGACTCAACCAAGATGGCTGAGGACCATATACAGTATGCTAGAGTGCAATAGTGTCATTTTTTACTTTAGCCTACAGTGCTATTTTAAGTGTTATATATTTGCCATGTTAGTCTCTGTTGCCATAGCCAAAGTAGTATATTCATATTATCTATCATGGAGTTTATTATCTAGAGTTGGTGCAGTATACTGTTTTATACATATGCAGGGTAAATCTGATGCTTTCAGATGCTGTGGTAGCACAATAGGATGCATCATGGGAACATTTTAATTCAAGTTACCAATTTTTTTTTAAATAACATTTAAAAAGTTGTCCTCGTTCAAATTCCTTCAAACTACGTCACAGCTCAAGATTTAAGCACAGACTGAAGGAGACAGTTTAATGAGATTATTGTTTATGTGCAGTTACGGGAAAATGGGAATGCAGGAGGTCACGCATGGGTCTGATTTAAGACTGATGACTGAACAGGCAGGTTGAGAACAGGTTCGACACGTCTAGAAGGAAAACGAAAAGAGAGGGAATGTTGTTGTAAGTGAGCATCGGTGGGTATCTCTGACTTGAAGGTCATAGCACAAGGAGGGCTAAGGTGTGACGAATAGCTAAAAGTTCGCAATCTGTCATTCCAGCTGTCATGGAGCTTATCCTCCTCCAGGGAGGAAGTCTAACCAGTGAAATCACCTGGTGCAGTGTTTTACCGAACCAAAAAAAACATGTACTATCAGTCCTCAATTCCACACAATTTCGTAGTTCTTGAAGTTAGGAGTTATTGTGTGCTGCGAGCAGGGCTGCAAAGATGCCAAAGGTAAGGGTGCAGAACCTGTTTTGTCGTTTTAATTATCCATGCCAACATACTGTTGTGTGTTTAATGAGATTGTGCCAGAGATGATGATTTAGAATAATACCATGCGGCCAAGTAGATGCAATTGTTACTGGAGCCATATCTCGTGCACACTCGGCCTTATAGGCTCAGCTCTTGGGTTTCCACAGACCTCTGCACTTCACCCACACATGCCCAGGCGGACGGCCCTCACGACAGGGATGGGTTTTCAGCAGCGCCTAACCTACTTTAATAGTTTCAGAACTGTTGTTTACTCTTCGCTTGTTCGCAGTCATTTACAGGACAAATTTAGCGCCGTGTTAGTCAGTTAAAGTGAGGCACTTCGCAGTTAAAAAAAAAACTTTCTTCGACAAATCGAACAATGCCTGTTGGCCTACCTCAAGAAAACTCAAGTAGAGCTTCACCACAGGGTTTCGTGACTTGACAATGACTTGCACTTCGGCACAGGCCTTCTACTCCACACTAAATATTAATCAGACATATTTACACACACACACATACATACAAAAGTTAATAATTTGAAAGTATATCCCTTTGCACACTTGGCTGATGAATGCATGTACATGGGTAGATTTTATGAAAATGGGATTTGGGACAAAAAAAAGCGAAAGATAGTGCACTTAGCAGTTGTTAGCTGAGTTGTCTCACTGAGCAGCATTTGTGTGGAGGCAACGATATACATATCGGTTTCCTAAAAATATCCCTGTGTGTTTTTGATTTTTAAAAAGTTCATTGTAAAAAGAAAAGAGATAGTGGATGAGCAGGGAGCGTGATAAGAGGAGCTTCACTCGCCTTCCGCTGGTTGGTGACTGCTGAATGTCTGTCTTAGTGGGCAGATGGGCGGTGATGCTGTGATCTTCGCTGCCATGCCCCTGCAACCATCCCCCAGTCTGACACCCCGCTCTGTCTCACCCCTGCTGACCCCGATGTCATGTTCTGACAACCGATCTCCCCCTCGTCTCCCTCCACCTCCATTTCCTCCCCTCCTGAGCCTGGTGTGGTCGTCACCTCCTCCCTGATCTATTTGGAAAGAGCTCTTCAAGTGAAAGAAAAGAAGAAAATATATGTATAGAAATCTATAATAATAAAAAAAAGGATTATAGAGATAAAGGTGGAAGTCTTAGTCTGAAATGCAGAGCTTTATGCATTATATGAATTTCAGAGGTGGAATGTACAGGAAACTGTTAATATTGTATATTTTGAATTTGAAAATATGTAAATCTAATTGACAAATCAAAGACAAATTAACCTGTTGTGATGCGGACAGAGTGACGTGGTTTTAGACCAGCGGTATTCAAATGAACAATTCTACAGCCGCTGGGTTTTCACTGTCTTACTTGCAACTGTGAGTTCTGAAACATGTTACAGAAATTCTGTTGTGAATAATAACACAACTCTAGATTGCCTTGAGTAAATGGCAATATGTTTTGTTTGATGCTGAATGAGGATGGTTTTTGCACAGAATCTGAAATGTAGTTAGGTGTAGCCTTTGCTTTAGCAATGGCTATATTTTACTGACATGATACCCAAAATAGTGGACTTAACCTGTCTATTTAGGTTTTTCATGGTATTTAGACATAAAGGTAAGGTTATTATAACATAGAGGAAATAAATGTCTTTCAAAGATCTTTAAAAATCTGAAAAACTGCTGAATTCTGAAATACTTGGTTGCATTAACAATACTTGGTGCACTCCACAAACCTGAAAATGTTTCCAAATTCTTGCACAAGACAGTGAAAATATATCTGTTGTTTGATATCTACGAAGGGTTACTCTTAGGTGTTGTGGGGTCCACTGATATTATTTGGACTTTTATTTCTGATTTATGAAACATGCACCCTTTCTTTTTTGTTGTGGTTATACACAAAGCATTTTCACACTGCACTTAAGTATTTGCCTTTTTTGTGTGTTTTTTTTCTTACCACCCTGCACTCAGAACTCATAACCCTGTTGTTTTGTTGGCTCAGTTCTCAAAACAAAACAAACGAACAAAAAAAAAAAAAAAAACAGGATGTAGTGGTCCCACTTCAGCCAGTATGCCATAGTACCCAACATCTTTTTATCAAACTTTTTTTTTCAGTTCTGTAGTGTTTTATTTCCTTTTATGCCAGAAAGGGTTGTTTTATTTTCCAGATGATGTCTGCAGAGGGCCAAATGATTTTTAGACCTTCTGTTGTGTTTACTAGAACTTTCAGGTGTTTTTTGCGAGGCAGTCGGGGCAGAGTCTAGCTTTAGACCTTGGTCACTCTGAACTGGATCAGTTGCACTGATTGCACAAGTGATTGACCAGATTAAAGAGTCTACTGTGATCCCCCTCAGTTGCGCTGAGGGACAGCTGCCATTGGCTGAAAGTAGGCGGAGGGCAGGGTTACATCTCTGTACAGTATTGTGTATCAGTATTCCCTTTATCTCCCCCTGTCATTTGGTCGATCTTGCTGTTTTATTCTCCGTAGTCCAGAGACCTGTATTAAACTGTATTAAATTGTATAGATTGTGCAAAAAGCTGAATGTCGCATAGCAGAAGAGAAAAAGCTATTCCTTACAGATGATAAAGTGATTTAAAATGTATAAAAGAAATTCAGAAACAAAGTTTAGGGGATACATGTAATATTTTGTTTGTAATTACTATTTTTTGTTGGAAGAGGGCTACTGGATAAAGAATCATCTGTAATAAAGTAATTTTAATATTTCTTTGTCCATATGTGTTTTTGTGTGTGAGGAGCAAAACAAAGCTAATTGTTAATCATATAACAATAATTTAAAGCTTAAAATGTCATCCTATACTTTATACAGTTGGTCATGAATGCCTGAGGTGTTGTAATACAAATTTTGAAAACTTACTACAGTTTTTTGTTTAAAGCACAGTTCCAAAAACATGTATTTGACTGCAACTGCATTGTGTTTATCTTGCATAACTCACAGGGGGGGTTTCTTGAAGCAGACAGCAGCTATGTTGCCTGAAAACCTTCACCTTTTAATAAGTAACACAATTAGATACATTACATGCTGATAAATACAAAATTTTTTTCCTTTGTTTGAGAATTGTTGGAATTTCAAACCAGGGAAGCCATGTGTAGAACATGTTGTCTTTGATTGTCTTTACCAAAAGGTCATGGGTCTTTAACTAATTTGGCTCAGTAAAGAATAATGTATGTTTTACCATAGATTTGTTTTTCTGAACAGCTGTCCACTGCACTTATACTGCTCATACATTGCAGCTACAGACGTTACTTGAGAATATCGAGGAAAAACCCAAAATATTGTCCAACGTTGATAATATTTCTCTCTGCAGATCTAATCCTTCACCGTCTTTTCCCCGTCAGCGTGTGTAGGACCTCTTCCAGGTGAAGTTCCCCTCCTCTGCATCTGCACTGCTCTCCTCAGGGGCCTGTGGTCTTGGCCTTCTCATCATGGGGGCTCTCCTCCTGCGAGGGGGAGCCGTGTTGTTGGTCCTGCTCCTCTGCCCAGCCTGAATATATTCTCCTAGTAGACCACTGCGGCTTGCCCCATCCCTCTCCTCCCCTTTCAGGAAATCAGCCACTACTCTGAAATACTCCAGGACTACAATAAGACTCCAGTTACCGTCCTCCGCCTCCTTATTTCCGGTCCTCTCACCTCCTATCTCTTCTCGGTTCTCCAGAGCGAATCCACAGTGCCCTCCTCGGTCTGTCAGCACCAGGAGGAAATAAGGATTGCTTTGGAAAAGGGAAACGGGTAAAGTGGATGCCGGCGGGAGTAGAGGGTCATCTTGGCTGCAGATACAGAGCACAGGGACTGCCACCTCATCTGCATCTCTCAGTGGTTCATTCCTCTCCCAGTAGCTGTCCCAGTTGTTGGCTGGGTAAGCCCTATCGCCCAGTGCCCAGGCCACTGAGGGTGCCAGGCCCTGCGGTGAATGAGATCCTGAGCTCAGTCCAGAATTTAGTGAGCTTATTGGAGGTCTGGGGTCCTTGTGCTGAAGCTGAGCTGAAGAACAGAAAAGAGTTTCCTCAAAGTCTCTGAGGGAGGAACATCTGAGGGCCCGATCCACATCTAGGACTCCTCTAAAGGAACTTGCATATCTTAACATAGCGAGAAACAACAGACAATTTTATGATCCTATCCATGTGGCATTCGTGTTATAACCACTATTAATACATTTTGATTTTGCTTTCATTTCTCTCACCTACTGAGCTGCAGCTTCCGATGAAGCAAAACCCCCCAGTGATAAATGGGAGGCATGGCTGTTTCAAACCACAGCTGGCCTAGGAGTACAGGTGAGATGGCCGCAGCCGCTGTCAGGTGTGAACTTGATCCAGACTCCCCCAAGTAGGAAAGAAGAATCCCTGAGCCTGAACCCTCACTCACAGCAACCAGCACAGAGGACGGGTGGCGGCTGTGGACAAAAGCCACCACCTGAAAATGGAAGACAAAGATCAATAGGGTTAGATATTTACATTAAACAGTGGACATTGTGGAGGTGAAATGTGTTTTTCTTCTTGTTCCTGTAGTTAGTTTGAGCTTCACTGTGCAGAAGGATCTTGAGTTTGGTGTGAAGTGTGATGTAGACACTTCTGCACCCGTGCACATACACGGAGAATGGACTTAAACAGTAAAGTAGAAGACATCTTGTGTCCAGCAGGAAAACTTTAAAAGATAATTTAATCTGCATATTCATAGATTCTGGAATTTTTAATCAAGTGGAAGAAATATATGCCTTTTTAAAGATTTTAATGCCGAAATTATACTTTTTGGTAGAAAAAAGATACACACATTATTGTTCCAAGCACGCTATTCCTGTAGTCTTGAGGTCTTTTCCACCTATGGGGAACATAACGTTTTTCCCAATTTGGAAAGTATGAATGTATTTTTCTTGTATTATTTCATATTTCTAAGTCCTAAAAGTGATGATAAGCTACCATTTAGCTTATTAAGGATAGCTTAAAATAATTTTTCCTTTGTGGTATGTATTGGCCACCCTACTTTAGAGGATACAATAATGAAACATATCATATATGATAAACATGACAACAACAAAAAAGGACTGTTCACCTGCCATCTTTTTCTACCTGCTCAAGATCAATTGGGTCTCCAAACTCAGTCAGTCGGGCTGTGGTCAGCGGGCACCCTGCTGTGCCTCGAGCATGAAACACCACCACATAAAAGCCCTGACGCACTGCCTGATGGCACAGCACCTTTAGGTGGGGGGTCATCCCTCCCCAGGACTGAGGGATGACGAGGAGGACAGGAGGCGTCGTGGTGAAGCAGCCTAGCGCCTTTCCCCCTGACTGATGCTCTTTCCTCCCGTCCCACCTCTTCCTCCCGGCCGCCTCAACCAGTCTTGTTCCCACAGCCCAGTCCAGAGCAACGATACCCCCGTCTCTCAATAACAGATGGTCTCTAGTGAACTGTAACGTGTCTCCTTGTTGTCCACAGAGCATGCTGGACAGAATCTGGAGGTGGGGGTCTCCCCTGGGCCAGGAGGCCAGTCTTGGCCTGACTAGAGAGCCACAGTGCCGGAGAAGATAGTTGGCCAGCGCAGTGGGTTTGCAGATGAGCTTGGGACCATCTGAGGCCTGACCTGACCCAGACAAAACATCTGTATCTGGTGATCCAGCCTCCTTGGTCCATGTTCTAGTATTCCTGTCTAGTGGCAGCTCCAGAATCAGGCAAATAATGACCCAGAGTCTCCAGCCTGCAGCCTTAACTGCCAGCCTCGTCCAACAACGTGCCCTGGGCCAGCGGAGAGTCAGAGACAGCAGCAGAAGTAGAAGCGATGGAAGCAAACAGAACAAACAATCCCTTACAAATGATGCCATTAGTTAAAACAGAAGATTGTAGTTTAACATAAATTCCAATGTTTCCTCTGGGAAGTTTCGCTGTGATTTCCTCAATCACATCTGAACCCCATATTTGGCAGACCCTTGGTCCTGGTCAAGACTCGGTCATGTAAATTGTTGTCTCTCGACTCCTGCTGTTCCTCGTCCTACCGCCCTTTCTCCTCCCTCCATAAATCATTTACTGCAAGCAAACACAGGCCACATAAATCTGTCCCTTCAGGGTTGACATGATTATAGTCTTTGACCTTGTTCCATGTCTGCCGGTCTTTCTTTTGCATTCTTGCCCAAGTTTAGCAGTGAATATTTTATAGGTTGTTGGTACAGCAGTCCTTATAAAGTTTATTTTGATGGTTTTATTCTAGCTCTAATCATATAATGAGAAATACCTAATGGCAGATCAATAGTACTGTACAGTGAGATTGAGTCACATCTTACTACCTGTGAAACTGAAATGTTTGTAGAGATTGGGCTTTGATCTTTGTTGAATCTTATACCCAATATCTGTCCCCCTTCCTTTCCTCTTATATTTTTTTCTACTGCTGTCAAATTAAAGCCTACAATTACTAGAAATATTTTAAAATCTAGATATGTGAATGCTCCTTTATCCTGTGAATGTACTACACAATCTGGACTGAAGAATTGTTGACTGAAGAGCAGCAAAATCCAATATCCTTGCAGAAAAAAACCCATTTATGTTCATTTTGTTTTTATGTTTGTTAAATTAATTGTTATTATAAATAATATAAATTAATTCTAAATTATTATTATATTTCTGTTTCCCCCTATCAATAAGTTTCAGTATCTCATTATAAATATATTGTCCAAAAGACATACCAACAACTGCATTTGAACATACATGTGCAAAAACCAAAGGGAAAGGGAAATATTTGCAGATAAACTGACTATGTGATTTAACATAACAGGTTTTAACATCTCTGATTCAGGAATACTTCTTCAAATGCAGTACTCAAGGTCAGTAGACTCGTCTCAGGGTATCAAAATAAAAGGTAAGAATAATAATGTGTAATATGGTTTTAACACAAAAATATTTAACAATTTGTTACAAATTCTTCAAATTATAACCACCTCTCACTTTCACTGAAAATACAAAGATATTTGACTATATGTGAAGGATGTCACACAACCTGTCAAAAAGTAAAAAGTAAAAAAAAAAGTAAGTATCAGTATAGTCTAGGATCTGGTAAAGATCCCCTAGACTTGTTTTAAGATATGCAAACATATTCTACTTATAATAATAATAATAATAATAATGATAATAATAATAATAATAATTAATTTTTTAATGTTTTATTCACAAAAAAATTGAAAATCTAACCTTGTTTAAAAGTATTAAAATTATATTTTGTCTCCTTCACCTTCATTGAAAGAATTTATAAATATGTAAATATTGTTCATTTTAAACATTTACCTACTGGACACATGCACTCTTGTGTAAGTTGCATATTGAACCACAACAGCTTCCACCCAGCACGCATTGGGGTGTCATTGCTGGAGGTTGGTGGACGTATAGCTCTGAATTTTCCTGTGTTAAATGTCACTTGTTGTGTCCTCTATGTGGCGCTAGAGAACACCCACTAATTATAAGTCAAGTTCCAGCATATGTGCAGGCCACACCATGAACATTTGATGTAAATCGGACGATGATTGTCACAGAATGCTTACTTCCTGTTGCCAGTAGGTGGCGCTATGATTAAATATTGCCATATATATGTGTTCAGGCTGGAACTCTTGTCTAATATGTACAGTTTGGGGCAAATTTGGCCATGTACACTAAAGTTACAACAACTTAATGTTTCATTTCATATCGAAATTTGACGCCAAGCGTGGTGTAGCAAGTTGGTGGCATGGAGACTTTAATGGGTGGCAAACAATCGCATATATCAATAGTTGCTTGAGAAAGACCCTAAAGGAAGATATTTATTGTTTTATTTCCAAATCTTCAGGCATTTTTCCTAATTCAACTTAAACCACTATGGCCACCATCACTTTGTCTAAAGTGGCCATAACAGATCATCAGTTTCATCATCAATTTTGCCACACCCATGCACCACTTCTGACATATCTGCTTTGTTCACAGTGCTGGCTGCTCAGGCCCTATATTTTTTAGTGTGTTTTGAATGCAGGGAGGCTTTATTTTAACCATTAATTGTCCATCCGTGTGGAATTTGACGTACAGCTACATCTGATGCAGTGTGTATATGTTTGATATGACATTTTCTAAACGTTTCTTCTCTCTGAGCAGTCTTTAGGACCAATGCAGCTGTGATTCAAGCATTGAAGAGTTTGTTTGTTGCATTAGATTGAATAAAAGTGATGAGTGTCACTGCAAAATATACACAAACACAAGACTGGACAGAAGAGAGAATAATCTATTTTTCTTAAATTCACAGATTTTAAAGGTAAAAAAGGTTTTCAATTGTAAATATAAAGATACTTGAGTGGCATGGAATGGGAGGATTGTCCTCTATCAGTCCATCAGCTGCTGCTGTCACTTCAGCTGCAAAAACAGGTTTCTCATAGAGCCTGTGTCTCACAACCTGTCAACCTGAGAAATTGAAAAAGAATTCAAACAGACACAGTACAAAGCTTTGTTCTTTGCTTATTTTATTGGTAACCTTAAAGGAGCAATAATTCAATTCAATTCAATTCAATTCAATTTTATTTGTGTAGCGCCAACAGGAGTTATCTCAGGACACTTTTTAAAATAGAGCAGGTGTAGCTCGTACTCCTTATAAAATTATTATTAAAATTAAATAAGATAAGTGTTTAGTATTCATCTACATGTTATCTGCCTGTAGCGTTTGATATGATTCACACCAGGGTGTAAGGTCAGTAGACTCATCTCAGGGTATCAGAGTTAAAGATAAGAATAATAATTTGTATCTGATATGTTTTTAACACAAAAACATTGAACAATTTGTTAAAAATCCTTCAAATTATCGTTCACTTTCACTGAAAATTCCAATGCAAAGACACATGACTATATGGGAGGATTGACACAGAACCTGTCAGAAAGCCAAAGGAAAAGAAGCAGAAAGCTTTGTTGTTTGCTTCTTTTAAAGGTAACTGTATTTATAGGAGCAGTAAATATTTAACCATCCAGTTTGAATCTGCATGTTATCTGCCTGTAGTGTTTGATATAATTAATGCTGGTGTTTATATCTGTTTTATCATATGAATAAATACCAGTATCTCATAATAAGGAATATGAAGACATACCAACATTTTTAAATCAGATTCTGTCAATAATGAAAGTGGCTATTGCTTGTAATATAAAAAGTCGCTTGAGGTGGAACTATCTTCTATAAACAAGACGGGAATGTTTTCCTTTACATGTAAGCACAAAAAAATCACAACCATGTTGTTTTAAAGTCAAAAACATGCAACAAGTCAAACAGGTCTAGTACGGTTATGACTCCACCCCAGTCATGGAGAAGTATAAATTCAGTTGTGTCAATAAGTAGGCAAAATAATGTACAAGAAGTCATCGAGACCTAAGGTACAGTATAATAACTTTACTTGATTTTCCCTCGGGATAAATAAAGTATCTATCTATCTATCTATCTATCTATCTATCTATTATATCTAAGAGGAGTATTTGGACCAGTGTGGGTTAAAGTAAGGGGTATTTTCCCGCGAAAAAACACATAATATTTCAACTATAATTCGTAAAATCAAACTTTTTTTGAGTTTTTGGTCATCAATTAAAAGATTAAATTCAGATTATATCTGAAAATCTGATTTATGTCAAGCCGATTTTATTTTACATTACCAATTACGAGGGCATATTAGGGACATTGCAGGTAAAAAAAATAAATGAATTATTAATAATAATAATAATAATAATAATAAAGATAGGCCTATATTAGAAAATAAATGAGTATGAAAAAACAATTGTGGTTTTTGTAATCAAGCAACCAGGGAAGCTGGAAATCAGACAGTTTGTGCCCCCCCCTTTAAAGCGATATAAGTGGGGGTATAAAAGAATAACTAGGTGTGTGTCTAGTGGACAAATTAGTCCAGACCCAAAACAAAAACGGATCATTTGATCGTGAAGCCTGCTGTAGCTGTATAACTGTATAATATAAGGTGCATGAACTCCACTGCAGACTATGAATGCGCGTCGGCACACCGTCCAATGCGCTCACTGTCCGGCATTGTTATTAAATATTATAACCTGCTTATGGGTAATCTATATCCATATCATCCATACACTTCCTCTCCTTGCACATTAGTTCATTGTTCCTGCCTGCTGTGGCCGCTTTCATATACTTGACACAAATTAAACTGGCCATTCAAATAATGCAAAAAACAAAACAAAACATGAATGTTGCACAGCATTTATATATTGTATATATATATATTGTTATCCGTCTCCTGTGCCTGGTTCCGTTTTTTTCTAATGTAGCCTATCTTTATTATTTACCTGCAATGTCCCTGATATGCCGTCATATTGGTAATGTGAAAGAAAATGCAACTTGACATAAATCAGATTTGAATAATCTTATATAAATCAGCATCTGAATTTGGGTAAATCAGTCAGAAAAATAATTTGATAATTTAGTACAAAAACAATTTAGTCACTGTTTTTAATTTGTGAGGATGGGAGAATGTATACCATAATTACAAATGTTTGTAATGTTTACAAAATAATAAGTGAAAACATAAAATGACCCTAATGAGTAAGCTGATCTAACACTACCTGGGTAAGGACGGCCCTTATTGACTAATATTGTGTTGTCCTTTTAATCTTTCCCATATTGTCAGACAGGCTGTGCAGTGATGTCTTCTGGACTGGCAGTGTTGTGTCTTCTGCTCCTGCAGACTGGAGCCTTCGGGTTTATGCCATTCCCATCAAAGAGTCTCAGTGAGTCTGATCACGACATCATTCCGCCAAACTCTGTCGATGTGTCTCATGTGGACATCACTGAGAGAGCGATCTTAAGTGTCACCTTGCATGTGTGCCGCGCTCTAGCACAGGCTGAGGGAACAGACTTCACTTCTCCTGTAAGGATTCAATTCAACCAAGTTATATTAACTTTTTAGTTCAAATGACCAGATTCAATGAACGTGTTTACTGAAATAAAAGTGTGTGTGTGTGTGTGTGTGTGTGTGTGTGTGTGTGTGTGTGTGTGTGTGTGTGTGTGTGTGTGTGTGTTTATAGTGGGCTTTTACTGTTTATGCTGTTGCTGTTTCCTGTGGAGCGTCCAAATCATCCAAGAGCTTCGAACAAACCATCCGCTTAATCCAAGAAAAGAATGGGGCTGTGGACAGAAAGAAATTCAAGGATCCAAACTATCACTTTGACAATGAGAGGTTTTTGGAGGGAAGGGAAATAATCACAACTGGATTAACACTTGTGAAGATCTTCAACAAGCTAAACAACTTTGAGCCTGCGAGAGAACTACTGGGGCAAATCTTACACCCTTTACAGGTACTTTCTGTTATTTGTTTGGTTTCCATTTTTTAAAAACCATTTCTTCCAGAAAACCTCATAACTAAAACTCAGCAAGCAGCGTAACAGTGTATTTCCACAGGCCAGTGTGCAATTTATTTCAAAATTGTATGCACTGCAGTTTATTTGATTTTATAATTCTATATTAAAGTGAACATATTGAATATAAATTAAGAATCTTTATTGTCCTTAACAAGGAAATGTGTTGCCACAGTCTGTGCATAGCCCCACATGGTAACATTTAATAAGGGACACAAATAGGTTGAGTTGTTACAAGCCATGTTAAGAATAGGTTGAGGCGGTGCTCTGCCTGTGGTGGTTTTGTTCAAGTGGTTGGGGCTGGATGAGGAGACCAATAATATTGGGGGCAGTTAAAGGGGAACAATAGAGGAGAATGGGTTGAATTATGGTTTTGTAGAGCAGAAAAAGCAGAAGAGTCTTTATTGGCAGTGTGCTGTAACATGTTGTTAATATTTAACTTGTATTCCTTTTTAAATAACAGGATTTCTACAGTCACAGCAACTGGGTGGAAATGGGAAACAAACTTCCAAACTCCAATCTGATCAAATCAAATGCCAACATTGGTAACATAGCAGGTAGATTGTGTAATGTGTAATGAGTGTGTGTTTGATTGTGTTACAGAAACAAAATAAACAGAGCCGAGGAAAGATATGATTATTTTACAAAACAAAAAATACAAAATGTCTTGTGGACTTTCTTTCCCACAGCTGAAGGCAGAGCAACCTGTCGCAACTGTGATGGAGACAACTGCAAGAACAACATTTTGGAGGATATCCTACGGGAAAAGATACTGACCTCTGGATATTTTGACCATAATTGGTTTTCAGCTGTTAAACCAAAAGGTAAATACCATACATACCTGCCTAACGAATTGTATTTAATTTATTCTCCAAAAGGCCATTTATAAAATTAATCTAAGGTAACAAAAACATGATTTCTATACTCAGATACACCAATAAAAACATATCTATCAATGTTATATTCCATTTCTGCCAATTGATTCTCCTGAAAGGTACACTCTGGACCTGGAAGTTATTTCTGGAGCTGTTTTACACCCATTAGTTGGAAATTCTTCCAGCTGTGAAAAGCTCCTCCATTTCATTTGTGCATTGTATTGTAGAATAGTGTTCATCAATAGCACCCTCAAAAATCTATTGTTTTTGTTGTATGCATACTGCCTGTTTTGAGTGTTCTTTATTTTGTCACTTTCCAGCGTGAACATATGAATTATTATGTAGCATGAATTTGGGAAAATGCCATTGCAATCCATCAATTAGTTGTTTCATTTCAATCCGGACCAAAGTGGTGGATTGACCGACAGACCAACATTTTTATCTTATTAGAGGCAGGCTGCTGGCGTGGCTAAAAACACACATTGAGAGAGAAGATTGTTCCTTCTGTGAAGTAGTAGCAGTAGTATTCTCTAAAGAAGGAGGATATGTAAAGCTGTATAAAATATTTTGTTCTTGTTCTGTTTCTAATGAACAGGAAAATGCAGTCATGGAGGATTTTTTGATGCAACAAGTGGAATTGAACCTGAAGGTGGGATCAACAAAGACACTTACAAATCCGACCATGGACACCTGCACAGGGATGCAGCAGATATGGCGATAGCTGCAACCAGCGAGCTACTAGAGGAAATTCGACGGGAGTCTGGTGACCGACCATTCCTACAGTATGAAACCCATTCTGCATGTTTCAGTTACTGTTTACAGTTCAGTACTGTAAAAAGGTGAAGGCAGAGTTTTTTTCCCCTTTGTTTTATCCACTTCTCTCCATCCCTCAGGATGATGGGGATCTCCAAAGGATCCAGTAAAGCTCTTTGTTTCGTGATCGACACCACAAGCAGCATGAGGGATGACATAGCGACAGTGAAGGACGTCACTTCCTCTATAATCAACAGTAAAGTGGGAACAGAAGATGAGCCCTCAGTTTACATTCTCGTACCTTTCAGTGATCCAGGTAGGATCTGAATGACTAGACTTTCAAACTTTTTTCCCTCTGAAGTGAGGTTAAGGGATGATTGTGCTATTAAACTTACACATTTTGCCTGCTAAGTAACTCAATTAAATGAACCAGCAGAATTGTATATGCTGTCATGTGCCGTAAACTTCTTGGAATATTATGATTGTTCGATTATATGTGAGTAATATAATATGACAAATAACAGAGTCTATAAATCATAAAATATATCAAATACACAAGCAAGAATGAAGACTAAAATTGTTTCCTTCTCCTGTCTACACTTTAACTCCAGATTTTGGGCCACTTACAAAGACTACAGACCCAAATGTCTTCAAGAAAGTTATCAATTCACTGTCAGCAGCTGGTGGAGGAGATTTTGCTGAAATGAGTCTTTCGGGGCTTCAGGTGCAGTGATGTCTTTGAAACTACTTCAGAATCTACCTCTGCAAAACTCAATAATATAGAAAGCTGAAAGTCAGACTACTGTATCATTGCTGTCCTCTCCTGTCATATAGCTGGCTTTAACTAATGCTCCTCATAATTCTGAGATCTTCTGCTTCACGGATGCACCTGCTAAAGACAAATTCCTGAAAAGGACTATAAAAGCACTCATGGAGCGAACCAAGTCAGTGGTGAGTGATCTTAGTGTCACTGTAAAAAAATAACATATGGTGTGGAAAATGATAGTGTAATAACTGTATATAAAGGAAAATAAAGGAAAATTAAAACTCACAATGTAATAACCTGCCTGTACTGTAATAGCTAAGAGTCTGTAGAGTATGAGGCTGTACTCAGGAACTGCAGTGCATTGATTTAAATGCTAATATCAACATGTTAACATGCTGATGAATAGTATTCATTAATTATAGTTTTATACCGTGGTCTGGGTGAATACTTGATTCTAATTGGCTGTTGGGTATCCATTTTTACCTGATGTAGGACAGCCACTATAGTTCCAGTGGTCCATGGTATAAGCGGAATAATGCCCTTCGAGGTGTCCATTAAAACAAATCCCTCACATATTCTCCATGTTCACCAATGTAGTTTAGTGTGTTAGCAACATTTGCTAATAAGCATTAAACACAAAGTGCTAGTCAGGTTAATGTCGGTACAACTTTCAAATACTTCTCATATATCAAACTTACTTAATTTGACATAGTAAGACAAATCATCACAGTCAAAATCATAACAGGAAAATTATGAGATAGGCCTGCTTCAATGCATTTAATTTATCATAATTTAGATTTAAAAATTTCAAAAATAACACATGTTCACAGTTACGTTTGCTAGATAGCTAATATTAGCATTTATCTTAATCACATTTCAGTTAATAGGGTAGTGACTTGAGAATATTTTTGGCACATTATAGACCAGTATTACATTATGAGTTTTTATTGCATGTTTAAGTTACATTGCATTGCATACAGTCCTTACATGTATGGTTTACAGATTATGAATACGTTTGTTTTTACACCTCTTCTTAAAAAAACAATGTTGGACTATTTTTTGCATATTTTGTAAAATATTTTTGCAAATAGACACTGTTCTGATTTGGTTATCTTAAAGTCACTATGAGTGGACTTTACACCTGTTTTATTTTCAGGTGAACTTCATAATAAGTGCGATACCAGGAGTTCGTCGACGAAGACAGAGTGCTAACGACCAACAGCAACAACCCAGTCGGATGGCAATATTTGATACCCAGCTGTACAGAGACCTGGCTCAGGCTTCAGGAGGTCAGGCTATTGAAGTGAAGAAGAGTGAGCTCCAAGTGGCCACCAGCCTCATAGTAGAGTCCACCAGCTCATCTCTGGTATTAACAAAATGCTTTCAGTAGCCATTAACAATGACTTTTCTAAATAAAATAAAAAGAAATGTCTCACCAGTTTCATTTAACCTCCTAGGTGACTCTTCTGCAGGCAGCCAGGAGTCCAGGAAAGGCTGAAAATTTTCCCTTCCCAGTTGACGATTCAATAAAAAACCTCAGAATTTACATCACTGCGAGGTCTGTCAGCTTTACTCTCATCAGTCCCTCAGGTGATACTTCTTTGCAGATGAAATCTTAGTTTTATTTGTATTATTGTAACAGTCAATAAGCAGTAGTTTACAAATTACATGACATAAAAACAGTAATTTTAAAAGCCCAGTGTAAAAGATTTACAGGATATATGGCAGACATGGAATATGTTTTAATTAGTTTATCATAACTTGAAAATAATTGTGTTTTTGTTAGAATCAGACTCAATAGAGACTGAGGACTTTACAATACAATTAGAGTTAAAAAACAATAACCTGCATTGCAGGTCTGAAGTCTTTAAGGTGGTGACATTGGAAAGTCCTGTGCTTGTAAAAACTGTTTTGAACCACAACAGCAGCCCAGAGTTAAACTCTAGATAGGACCTTTCATGTGTTTCACAGCTACCATATTTTCTCCTACATGCTTGGATAGAGAGGGTGATTTGACAGGTATTCAGTTGATTGCAATCTGCAATCTCACTGCTAGCTACCACTAAATCCTACACACTGGACCTTTAAGGGTTAATAGTGTTCATTTTGTGTATTGGCATAGAAAAGGAGTTTTAAAGCCACTGTGTGTAAGTTTTGAAAATTCTTGATTTTGGCCCCATCTGGTTATATTATATATTATATTAACTGTGACACTGTGGTATTTTGCTTCTTTACAATAGCTCTAAGAAATTGAAATGTTTCACTGTTAAAAAAGTTAACCAGAATGCTTCATTTCTTTCCATGGCTTTGCTTTAAGGTGAATCTCAGCAAAGCTCAGACACAACAGGATCACTGATCACTGCATTCAAGTTAGTGGGAAACTTCCAGACCCTGCAGCTAAAGACACAAGTGGGACTGTGGGAAATTAAAATGGTGTCAACGAATGCCTACGCTCTGAAGGTTGTAGGTGAGAAAATCATCACGATCACATAATGAATACTTAACTTTATTATTATTTTAGGTGTCTCTTACCAGTGCTGAAATCACAAAAAGTGGTATGTAGCTCCAACATAGGTTTGGTGTTATTTTCTGAGATTTTGGTTGATTTTCTTTTTTTTTTTTTATTTGCAGGGGAGAGTTCCATTGACTTCCTGTTTGACTTTTTGGAGGTGTCGCAGGGCCCCTTTGGAGGTTTTTATGTTTTGGACAATCGTCCCAGAGTTGGTAAAGGAAACAGAATTTTGTGATATGCCGAAGTATTTTGATTTACTTCAGCATCAATCAGTGGAGTTTCTCTTTTTATTAAGGTGTCAATGGTAGTCTGATGGTGACCGTAACTGGGAGTGACTCCGCCACGGTGACAGAAGTGATTCTGGTTGAATCATCGGGGTCCGGACAGGTCAATGGCACTGTAGAGGCTCAGGGTGGAGGAGACTTCTTAGCTCAGTTTGACAGGATCCCATCACAGGAGTTTGTGGTGCTTGTGAAGGGGAAGAACAGCAATCGTTCCACCAAAGCCTCAGTGTTCTTCCAAAGGCAGTCGCCCACCAACATCAGAGCGTCTGCTCTGACTGTTACTGTTGTAAGTGAAATGAATCCTTTTAAAAACATGATATGACTTTTAAGATAAGCACTATAAAACTCTTTTAATATGACCAATACTTACAGTTGTTCTCTTACATTTTTAGGGGGATTCACAGAGTGTCTTAGTACCAGGAACGCCACTAGTAGTTCCCTTCTCTGTGACGACGGGTGGTGCAGGAGGAAACTTTAGTATCAAAGCTACCAATGATCAAGGTTTTACTTCAACTTTCCCATCCAGTTTATTCCTGGAAACTGGAGGCAGTGCTAATGGTACAGTGAACCTCAAAGCACCGATTAACTCCACATCTGGTACTGCTGTAACCCTGACCATTGAGGCCGAGGCTCCGGGAGGCACAGACGCCAACTATGTTGTTCTGCGTTTCACTGTCCTTAGAACGGTAATTCTCATACATTTCATAAAATGCTAAGGCTGTGAATGATCATTCTAGCTTATTTAATCTTATCATTATTGGGTTTATTGGTTGATTCGCTGATGTAAAACCTGACTTTATTTATGTTTTTCCTATCTTTGTAGGTAACTGATTTCACTGAGCCAGTGTGTGAGCTGCTCAGTCTGCAGTCCAACTGTCCTGAAAACTGTAGCTTGTCCACGTGGAAGCTCTCTGTTCAGGTGACTGATGGTGCTGAAGGGACGGGTGTTGACCGTGTTAGCCTCAGACAGGGCAATGGCACCATGAGCACCAGCCTGGCCGCTGGCAATGAGAACATAACGCTGGTGTCTTACATTGCGTCTTGCTGTGCGCCTGATATGGAACTGCTGGTTGTGGATCGGGCGGGTAATGCAGGGTCCTGTTCCTACAGTTCAGCTGCTACGCAGTTGCCCCTTCTTAGCCTAAGTATCATGATGTTAGGGCTCCATATACTGACAAAACTGTGCATCCAGTGAGTCCATGTCAAAGTTGAAAATAGTTAAAGCTGCATTCATCTATTATTTTAGCATTGAATTGACTGTGTTTACTGTGCACCCACAACATGTAGCTGTTTATGCTCAATGTAGGTTTATTCTTAACAACATTTGCAGCAACTATTTTCAGGAAAGCTCTGATGAACCCACTTTATGCTACAGTTGCAACCTGACCACAAACTCAGTTACTGGTCATGTATAGGGTCAGGTTAGTTTTGTTATTTGTGTGAAGTTTCAGGTTCGGGTCAGTCTTGGGTTGGATTATTTTCAAATGTAACTTAAAAAAGAAAAATTTCCTTTTCTTCTCTCTCTGACTTTACTGATCATCTGCATCGATGTTTTGCAAGTAGATACCCAATTCCCCACTGGGAAGCCGGAAGATACACAGTACAGCCAATTAACTTTATTAGCCTGGCGAGCTGGAGGCCAGTAATAAAATTAAATAAAGCAAAAACTTGCAAATGGGAGCTTCTTCAAATGTCTGTGATTCAGGGAAGGGCAGGCCATTGGATTCTGAGAAATATCCCGTTATTGTAACAACAGCGGAAGAACCTCTAACTTTTCTCCACAACTCCAACTGTTAAGAAGCATCACGATCATCCCCATACAAAGTTTTGTTTTTCATTCCAACTATTTGGACTGTTGTTGAGTTCAGCCAAGAAAGACTTTTTTACTTTTCCAGCCACATAAAGCTGCAGATGCGAGGCTCCCCTTTACCACATATTGAGGTTTTCTATCTAATACAAAGGCAGAAAGAAGAAGTTACATATTTTTTGTGAGAAAGCCTTTTCAAAGCATAGGAGGAAATAATATACATTATATCCTCGGGTCTTAAATTCAGCAGGACCAGGCAGGGTTTGTACTGGACAAACTGTGCGCTACCTACCAAGTATTAAACAGGTTTGTAACACAACCTCAGTGTGAAAAGATATATCATGAGACCATCTAGATTGACTTTTTCTTTGTCATGCAGGTTACTTCAGGACCCTGACCTGTTCACACTGGGATCTGATATGGGCCTAATTTTAAAAGTAATGTGAGCAGCCAACTAAAAAAATCTGATCTGAGAAATGAATCAAAATTGAGCAAAATGTAAATATTTTACACAGACTCTTGCAACAACATGGATGCAGAAAGTATAAACTGGGTTAAAGTAGACAATTGTTTGCTGATTTATTATCCATATAAACTTAATGAAGTTGTGTTGGGGCTTTGTTTCTCTCAGCTTTCTTTGGATTTCATCTGCCCCCTGGTGGCCAAAATCAATTAATGCAGCCTTACACCTCAAACAAATATTCTGGCTATGTGCATACTGGTGCCAGCGAGTTATATTACTGGTGTTATGAAGGTATTTTGATCTCTGAAAGAGGGAGCCTGATGCATTTTGTGCTCTGCCTTCTGTTCAGTGAATGTATTCCTTTCTGTGAGCCAACCTAAATCCTAACATTTAACAGAGAAATCCAGCAAGTGATCATTTGTCATCACGAAATAAACAGACAAACACTGTTTTTATTGTTGTCATAATGTGTCTAGTGTATAATACTTTACAGAACATATTTTTTCAAAAACATTTCTCCTGTTTTCTGTATTACTATGTACATTTTTGGAATGTTTTAGGGACACTGGTTTAAATAAACTGAGCAGTTATGGTCTGACATGGAAAGCGTTGTGTTGGGATGTGCACATACTTGTGTTATCTTTTCTAGTGATATGTGTGTGTTTAGTAGTAGTGTAAGTATGTTTATTGCAATCCTGGCAGAACGTCTTTATCTGACAGATTTCCCTCTATTTGCTGTAGTTCTCCTTTTTCTCAGATGGTTATTTAAATAGTGTATGTAGCTCCCACATTTCCTCTTTTCTGAGATTTTGAGATATACAACACTGCGCCTTGAGCCATCAACTCAATATATAGTGAAGGTTGAAGTGTTATATTATAAATATTTAATTTGAAATATTCAACAAAATGTCATTCTAGAGACAATGTTGCAGGTACTTGGAATAATTGACAGACTTTGCTGTCATTTTTAAAAAAAACTTTATTTCTTGACACATAGGTTTTTCATTGAAATAGTGTATGGCCATAGCCAACTATAGGTGCACAATAGTACATCACAAAGCCGCACTGTATAATAATAGCTGCTAGGGCCCTATAAACCAGAACAAAGAAGGATCACGTCCATCCAACCACTCTCCAGCTTCCAAGGTGGGCTCAGGCCAGGTACAGGTCTGCCTCTGTGTCGCGTCATAACACTCGTAACACTTTCATTGTAATCTGCATTTCTCTCCATTTTACCCTCCCAGCTGATAGGTTGTCTATATGCCTTTTACATTAGCAGTTTTAAGTGCCCACTACAGGTGTTTGCTCCTTCTGCAATGAAACATCTGCTCCGTGCCTGGTGTCAACTAGGACTCTCCTCATTGACCAATAGTTTACCCGACAATCAGGGGAGAGCCCTATTAATAATATTATTATTTATTATGTCTGATAACTGATCATTTTGATTTGCCAAAATTTAATTGATTGCACAAACACAACTTGGTGCCCCTTAAACCAGTGTTGCCTGAACAAACGGTGCTGCTGTGTTAACCATATTACAGAGGACTGCAGTACTGGTATGGCTCTTAGCCACAGCCACGAGGGACGCAGCATTGTAGAGTGCATGATTACCTTTTTACTTAGTATCCATCTCTGCACATACTAATTCAGTAACAATAAGAAAAACACACTTTTGAGTGCAGGAAGGTTTTAATTATCCTGAAATGTTCATCCCTGTCTGTGAAATTTGACTTACAGCTACCAGATATCATTGCTGCTGCAGCATGTACATCATTTTCAAAACATCCCCTCACCACAAGCAGATTTTAGGACCAGTATAGCTACAATTCACACATTGACGAGTATTTTCAATTGTAAAGATAGAGTAACCTGCAATGGGAGGAATACTTTCTTTCAGTCTTTTTCTTGTACTGTAGCACATACACCAATCAGCCATAACATTATGACCACCTGTTTTTCCTGCTTCTAACACATCAACTTTAACAACAAAATGTTCACTTGCTGCCTAATATATCCCACCCACTGACAGGTGCCATGATAACCAGATAATCCAGATAACCCGTCTGTGTTCATAATGTTGTGGCTGATCAGTTTCTCATACAACCGGTTTTCACGAGAAATGAAAATGAAAGAACTGAAATGGACACATCAGAAAGCTTTGTTGTTGTTCTTTTAACATCGACCTTGTAGGAGGAGCAAATATTTAACCATCCAGTTAGTATCAGCATGGTATGTGCCTGTAGTGTTTGATATGATTAGCGAGTATATCTGTTGTACCAATCAATACCAATAGGTCTATCTGATTATAAGGAATGTGAAGATGCCCAAAAGACATGCCAACACATTTTTATCATTTTTATGAATCAATTTCTCCCACAAAGACTATTATGAACACAAACCAAAGGTAAAATAAAATATTTGCAGTTAAACTTTCTTTTGTCTTTTTTTTTTTTTATCAGTCCTTTTATGGTATTATAGCATATAGTTTGCATGCCATCACCTGTGGTTTCTCACGCACAACCTGTAATAATGAGAAAGGAAGAGTTCAGAAACCGTTCAAACAGACACAGCAGAAAGATAAGTAAAGCAAAATAATAACGATGATGTTACTATACAAACAACAGGTCAAACAAGTCACAAAGTAGTGACTCCACCCTACATGGAGCAATATAAATGAAGTTGTCACAATAAGTAAATAGTCTTCAAGAAGGGGTCGGGACCTAAGGTAGAGTATAATCATATATGATAATTATTGGTAATCTAAAACAAAACATACATTTTGATATGTCAGATTTTTTTTAATTTTTTTTTTATGTACTAAATTAATGTTGTAAGGTAAAATCATTAAAATATTTAAATATATTACCAAAACAAAACAATACTTGTTTTAGTGTTTTAAGGATGTGAAAATGTGGACCATAATGATAAATGTTTTTAATGTTTATAAGGTAATAACTTAACAACTTTACAACCACCTTAAATTCAATCAAACAGAAAACCAGAGGCCAAATAGCATTTTTGTGTGCATTCAAAAAGATGGTGTTAAGTAGGAGGAGCTACAGTATCTGTATTGTTCTGTGTTAATGTGAAATAATGACTGTTGTAATGGGGTATGAGCTGATCTGACACAACCTGGGTAAGATATTTCATCTTTCCCGCACTGTCTACAAAACAGGTTGTGCAGTGATGTCTTCTAGGTTGCCAGTGCTGTGTCTCCTGCTCCTGCAGACTGGAAGTTTTGGATTTTACATATTCGGCGGAGAGTCCCTGAATCATCAGGAGATTACTGAGAGAGCAATCTTAAATGTCACATTGCAGGTGTGCCGCACACTAGCACTGGCTGTGGGCGAAGACTTCACTTTTCCTGTAAGTATATAATATATATTAACTTTTTATTTCAAATGACCTGTTCCTGTATTCTCAATGAATGTGAATGTGTGTGTGTGTGTGTGTGTGTGTGTGTGTGTGTGTGTGTGTGTGTGTGTGTGTATAGCCTCAGCCTTTTACTGCTCAGTCTGTTCCTGTTGCCTGTCAAGCATCAAAATCATCCAAGACCTTCCTCCAGACGATCAAATTAATTAAAAAAAAGAATTGGCGAGTAGACATTCGTTATTTATTCAGCCCACGCCATCACTTTGACAATGAGAAGTTTTCGGAGGGAAGGAATATAATCACAAGTGGATTATCAGCTGTGAAGGCCAACAACAAGCAAGAGAACTTTGAGGCGGCGAGACAACAACTGGGAGAAATCTTACACTCTTTACAGGTATCTTCTTTTATTTGTTTGGTTTCCATTTGTTTTCTTACAGGAAGAACCTTAAAACTAAAACTCACTCAAGTTCAGCAAGCAGCCAAACAGTGTATTTAAAATTGTATGCACCGCAGTTTCTTTGATTAAAGTGAACATCTTTGAATGACTTGGGCTCCTCTCTTAGCCCCTTGCCTCGCTTGTTCTTTAATGAAGCAATAGGAGAAGATTTTAGTTTACTCAATAATCAGCTTTATTCTGAACACCAGTAGAGTATGCAAAGTTTACAGAGCTCTGGGTCCAGACTATAGTATCCCTGACAAGCAACAAAGTGTGTGTCAGTTCACGAAGTCCGACTCTCTATCTCTCCCTGACCCAGTGTGTTATAGTACACCAGTGAGAAACGTCACAGTAGGCGTTGTCTTCTTCCCATCAGCTGTAGGCGCCTTCCCTCCTCATCCTCATGGTATCTGACTACAATGTTATGTTGACGCCTCCTGGTGTAACCTGAAACTTCACATACCAATAGACTTGTCTTCCTTTTTAAATAACAGGATTTCTACAGTCACAGCAACTGGGTGGAAATGGGAAACAAACTTCCAAACTCCAATCTGATCAAATCAAATGCCAACATCGGTAACATAGCAGGTACAGAGATTGTGTAATGTGTAATGAGTGTGTGTTTGATTGTGTTACAGAAACAAAATAAACAGAGCCGAGGAAAGCTATGATTATTTTACAAAACAAAAAATACAAAATGTCTTGTGGATTTTCTTTCCCACAGCTGAAGGCAGAGCAACCTGTCGCAACTGTGATGGAGACGACTGCAGGAACAACATTTTGGAGGATATCCTACGAGAAAAGATACTGACCTCTGGTTATTTTGGGCTTGTGCCTTTTTTCTCGACTAAACCAAAAGGTAAATGACCTACATACCTGCCTATAAGAATTGCATTCAATTAAGAGTACAAAAAGACATTTATAAGCTTGAGAAATTCACATTTGTCATTAGGCTTGCAAATGGACAGTTTGAGCAGTTATATGGCTAAAAATCTGCAGTGAATTGCACCCCTGTCATCATCCCTATTTGTTAAGAAAACAGTTAGGGCAACATGGAAAAAGTGTAACTACAGTATTACGACATACACTGGACACTCAGTAGAGCCCATTGACAGTATATATAATGGACAGAGCTTCCAGGTCTGTAAAGTGAAGCCAGAGTGGAAGCGCATTCTATGTAAAGGCCAGCAGGAGGAGCTCCATTGGCTGCAATAAAAAACGACATCATTCACTCTAATGGAGAAATGACCCGACTTCTCACTTGATTTATTAGCTGAGTAAACGGTTTCCTGAAGAGTTTATGGTCTTAGCTTCTAGTTTCAAGTCTTCTTCCATACAGCATGATGTTAATATAGTCAATTATGGTCCAATTTAGAGTTAAATAGAAGATAAAGCAGGGTATGCTTTTTAGTGTTGGTACCGTGTGACTGACAGGTCACTCCCACTTTCAAAATGAAATCTCCAGGAGGCGCAGGGTAGCTCACCTGGCAGAGCCCGCCCCATGTAGTCCCTACCACAGTGGCCTGGGTTCGATTCCAACCTCTGGCTCTTTCCTGCATGTCTTAGTTTATAAAATAAATCCCCAAGCAGTAACTGTGGTAACTCAGGATGATGAATGCCGCCCATTTTGTCCTTCTCTCTCTCGGGATACGCACCAAGCATTCAGGCACCCTTGGAATTTCTCTCAAAATGTTTCTAATGCTGAACAGGAAAAGACAGATCAAAACATGATCAAACAAGTAAGATGCTGCCATGTATGTCAGTCACACCATCATGGTTCTCAGCTTCTCAAAATATTAATGAGAGGATTCAAATGGAAACTTTCACTTATTGCTACAAAATATCTCAAATTAAAAAGAGTTGCACACAGTCTATAGAAATAAGTATTTAACAGTATATACTCCTCAGAAAAGTCTGATATTCTTACAGAAATGTGTATTTATCATGTTTCTTTCATGCTATTTGTTCAAAAGGAAAATGCAGTCATGGAGGACGTTTTGATCGAACAAGTAACATCGAGCCTAAAGGTGGAATTAACAAAGACAAGTTGAGCTCCAACCATGGACACCTGCACACCAACGCAGCGAATATGGCGATAGCTGCAACCAGCGAGCTACTAGAGGACATTCGAGGGGCTGCTGGTGACCGACCATTCCTACAGTATGAAACCCATTCTGCATTTTTCATTTATATACTGTTTAGAAGTAAGGCAAAGGGTTATTATCTATTTGTTTAATCCATCTATCTCCATCTACCAGGATGATGGGAATCTCCAAAGGATCCAGTAAAGCTCTTTGTTTCGTGATCGACACCACTGGAAGCATGAGTGATGACATAGCAACAGTGAGGAACGTCACTTCCTCTATAATCAACAGTAAAGTGGGAACAGAAGATGAGCCCTCAGTTTACATTCTTGTACCTTTCAGTGATCCAGGTAGGTTTCCTCTGAAGTGAAGTTAAGGGATGTTTGCACTATTAAGTTTATGAATTTGCTCTTTATCTGTTTGCCTGCTAAACTATAACTAACTCAATTAAATAAAGCAGCAGACCTTTTCTGTCATGTATACTTGTTGGAATATTATGATTCCAAATCTGTATGAAATACTCCATAATCGCACGCACAGGATAAAGACTAAAATAATTTCTTTCTCCTGTCTCCACCTGAACTCAATTCAGATTTTGGGCCACTTATAAGGACTACAGACCCAAATGTCTTCAAGAATGCTATCAATTCACTATCAGCAGATGGTGGAGGAGATTTTGCTGAAATGAGTCTTTCAGGGCTTCAGGTGCAGTGATGTATTTCAAACTACTTCAAAATCTACCTCTGCAAAACTTGATAATATAAAAAGCTAAAAGTCAAGACTACTGTATCGTTGCTGTCCTCTCCTGTCATATAGCTGGCCTTAACTGGTGCTCCTCCTAATTCTGAGATCTTCCTCTTCACGGATGCACCTGCTAAAGACATCTACCTGAAAAGCACAGTGATAGCACTCATAGAGCGAACCAAGTCAGTGGTGAGTGATCTTATTGTCATTGTAAAAATAAAATATAGTGTGGAAAATGGTAGTGCAATAACTGTATAGCTCAGCTGTCAATCATGACGTGAAACTCCCTTTTTATAGGTTCAGATAACTTAAAACACTTACATCAGCGTAATAGAAACTTGCCAGAAGACATATTTGGGAAAAATGTGTTTGAAGTTAGTTTTAGATGTTTTTGTTTGTTCCATGTCCCATCTGTTAATAGCTAATTGTTGAATAAATAACCCTAACTTCGTAGGCTACATATGCCTAACAGACTGTTGGTTAAACTCAATAATATAACAATTGAATAAATTAATAAAAAAATAGGACAGCTTGGCTTTGATTTAAGACTGCTAATGCCTCTCTTTGTTCTTCACGTCATGGCAAATAGCAACTTTGCTATCCTTTTCAAAAACTTTTATAGACATATTTGTCCCTCTTTTATGCTCACGGATGTAGTGACGTCACCTTTGCTAAAAACTAAACTAAACTAATGTAGTTTAGCATGTTAGCATATTAACATTTGCTAATTAGGATTAAAAGTGCCATATGAAAGAATTTGAATTTGAAAATCTACAAATATGTATTCAGATTTGTAATATGTAGACAAATCTGCATATATAGATCTGTAAATGTGTAGGCAAATCTGTAAAACATACATATTAATGACCAAAAAGCATTATGTACAAAAGTCACATATAAAAAGCCAATTGAGAGTCTGTCATCAGTTGTAAATGATAACTTGTTTGTATTTCCAGCTCTTGGAGTAAGTACTTGAGGTACAAAGTGCAAAAGTTTTCTGAAAGTTACATATAACCTCTAAACACACCGCTCAGACTGAAAGGAATGTCTTTAGTTCTGCAGTTATTTTGTCATCAACCAATGTATTGGACGAATTAAGAGTTTGACCTGTTGATGGTGCTAGATGAAAAGATAAAGAATCATCTAAGTTATTGCGTAATAACATAATAACCTTTTTCATAATATTATTGCACTTTGTGTTGGCTGATTTAAACTATATTAGTTTAAAAAAAAATATATTTTTATATTGCCTGTTTGCACCGTGGGTCCGAGAGGACTGAAATTTAATCTGTGCTGTATGTTGTGCATGTATAGCATATTTGACAATAAAGCTGACTTTGACTTTACCTTTCACATATTGTAATACACTATGGCTCACACAGTGGCCCGCACACTAAATACAAAAAATCTAATTATTGTATGTATAGGGAAATAAAAATACAATATCACAGCTTTCAAATACTTTTATACATTATATCAAACTTAGTGAATGTGTTGTTGTTGTGTTGTGAATTCTAAAAATAAGCAGACACCTTTCTGATCTGGTTAACTTAAAGCCTTTATGAGTGGGCTTTTACACCTTAAATTCTCATTCACCTGTTTTATTTTCAGGTGAACTTCATGATTACTAACTTGCTGGGGTTTCGTCGTCGAAGACAGAGTTCTAACAACCAACAGCAACAACACAGTCGGATGGTAAAATCAGATGCTCAGCTGTACAAAGACCTGGCTCAGGCTTCAGGAGGTCAAGCTATTGAAGTCACAAAGAGTGAGCTCCAAGTGGCCACCAGCCTCATAGTAGAGTCCTCCAGCTCATCTCTGGTATTAACAAAATGCTTTCACTAGCCATTAAAAATTACTTTTCAAAATGAAATTAAAAATGTCTCACCAGTTTTATTTAACCTCCTAGGTGACGCTTCTGCAGGCGACCAGGAATCCGGGAAAGGTGGAAAATTTTACTTTCACAGTTGACGATTCAGTAAAAAACCTCAGAATTTACATCACTGCGAGGTCTGTCAGCTTTACTCTCATCAGTCCCTCAGGTGATACTTTTTTGTATATTAAATATTTCAAAGGTGCTATTTGTAACAGTTAATACGCAGTCATTTATAAATGGCATGTCATTTAAAAAAGAAAATAGTGTTCATTTGTTTTACTAGCATAGACAATACAAAGTGCCTTGAACATTTTTGACTTTGGGCCCATCTGGTGGTAGTATTGAGTGTTACACTGTGGTAGAGTACACTAGATCTAAGAAATTTAAATGTTTAATTAAAAATGAATTCAAAAACTTTAGCTCTTGGCCTTTTAACCAGAATGTTTCATTTCATCCATGGCTTTGCTTTTAGGTGAATCTCAGCAAAGCTCTAACACAACAGGATCACTGATCACTGCATCCCAGTCAGTGGGAAACTTCCAGACTCTGCAGCTACAAACACAAGTGGGACTGTGGGAAATCAAAATGGTGTCAACAAATGGCTACAGTCTGAAGGTCGTAGGTGAGAACTCCATGACTGTGGTTTGAATCACATAATTAATACTTAATTTTGTTGTTTAATTTAGTCGTTATGCATGTGACCACTTAGGTTGATTTTCTTTTGTTGTAACTTTTTAATTTGCAGGTGAGAGTCCCATTGACTTCCTGTTTGAATTTTTGGAGGTATCGCAGGGCCTGCTTGGAGGTTTTGATGTTGTAGACAATCGTCCCACAGCTGGTAAAGGACATTTATTTTGTGAAAAGCATTATGTGATAAGTATTTTGATTTACTTCAGCACCATTCAGTGGATCTTTTCTTTTTATGAAGGTGTCAATGGTAGTCTGATGGTGACCGTAACTGGGAGTGACTCCGCCACGGTGACAGAAGTGATTCTGGTTGAATCATCGGGGTCCGGACAGGTCAATGGCACTGTAGAGGCTCAGGGTGGAGGAGACTTCTTAGCTCAGTTTGACAGGATCCCATCACAGGAGTTTGTGGTGCTTGTGAAGGGGCAGAACAGCAATGTTTCCACCAGAGAAGCCTCAGTGTTCTTCCAAAGGCAGTCGCCCACCAACATCAGAGCGTCTGCTCTGACTGTTACTGTTGTAAGTGAAATGAATCCTTTTAAAAACATGAGATGGCTTTTAAGATAAGCACTATAATACTCTTTTAATATAACCAATACTTACAGTTGTTCACTTACATTTTTAGGAGGATTCACAGAGTGTCTTAGTACCAGGAACGCCACTAGTAGTTCCCTTCTCTGTGACGACGGGTGGTGCAGGAGGAAACTTTAGTATCAAAGCTACCAGTGATCAAGGTTTTACTTCAGCTATCCCATCCAGTTTATTCCTGGAAACTGGAGGCAGTGCTAATGGTACAGTGAACCTCACAGCACCAATTAACACCACGTCTGGTACTGACGTAACCCTGACCATTGAGGCCGAGGCTCCGGGAGGCACAGACACCAACTATGTTGTTCTGCTTTTCACTGTCCTTAGAACGGTAATTCTCATACATTTCATAAAATGCTAAGGCTGTGAATGATTATTCTAGCTTATTTAATCTTTTCATTATTGGATTTATTGGTTGATCCGCTGATGTAAAACCTGACTTTATAGATCTTTTTCCTATCTTTGTAGGTGACTGATTTCACTCAGCCAGTGTGTGAGCTGCTCAGTCTGCAGTCAAATTGCTCTGAAAACTGCAGCTTGTCCATGTGGAAGCTCTCTGTTCAGGTGACTGATGGTGCTGAAGGGACGGGTGTTGACCGTGTTAGCCTCAGACAGGGCAATGGTACCTTAAACACCACCCTGGCCGCTGGCAATGAAAACGGAACGCTGGTGTACATTGCGTCTTGCTGTTCGCCGGATGTGGAACTGCTGGTTGTGGATCGGGTGGGTAATGTAGGGTCCTGTTCCTACAGGGTCCAGAAAACGTCCACCAGCAGCTCACAAGCTACAACCACCAGTATCCCAAATCCTCCAACAGCAGTAGCTGTTGTGTCTTTGTCTACCAAAACCGTTCAGTCTTTCTTCCTTTGCCTTAGTATCACAATCATAGGGCTCAATATACCATTTGAAATGGGAATCAACTGAGTGTCTACATGTTGAAGGTGGGATTAGTTACATTTTAAAATGTTTTACCTTTATTTGATCTGCCTTTGTTGATATAAATGGGTGAACCTAATAACCTGGCAACTAAGTGTATAAGTGGGTAATTAATTGTGCTGTATAATCAATATTGAAATCTTTATGCAATATTAACTACATGTACTCTCTGTTTTACAAGGTGCTTGATGACATTCTAAAACTTAATGAGGCTGTGAATATGTTATGATTAAGACATATATCAGGTGAACATGCCATTTTAATTATGATACTTTTAACCATCATCCATCCATATTTTGAGTAGTTTTGTTGCTGTTAAGTTGTGGAAGGGTTTTGATTGAATGATCAATTGTATTTGATGATTTTAAATTAGATATAGAGCTGAGGCTTGCTTCTGACAAAGATGAATAAAAAACAGAAAGGATGACACAATAAAATTAAAAGAGTTATGTCCACTGTAGTCCTTTTGGGAGAAAGATGTATGACAACAGTTGAGGGGAATAAAGGTGACACTGGGGTACCAGATTACATCATCAGAGGGTAATAACTATATTATATATCAGAATAATTGTTAACAAGTCAATATCATTCAGTAAAACTGCACAGAGTTTTGCATAGATTGCATATCTGTAGGTCCAGCATCAACCTTAGAAATGCAGGTGATTATTCACACTATGTACATTCAACATCAGTAGTTTTTATCACCAAATCATGTCATAAAAAAATAAAGAAAAACACTGATAGAACAAGGAAACAAGGGAAGCTCATAACACGATGCTTGCAATTCTTTTTTTTTAATGCCGTTATCTCGAGATTACAAGTTCAAGGACCAGTGTGTAGGATTGCAGATTGCAAACTAACTGAACACTGTTTGCGTCTGTATTTGACGACCTAATGATAACAGGCTGTGAAGTCTATGTAAGAAACTATGGTGGCTGTGAAAAACGTGAAAGGCCCTAAATGCAGCCAGCGTAGGGTTTGTCTGTTCTGGGCCACTGTAGAAATGTGGAAGGCGAACAGCAGCATCTGTAGATAAAAACTGTCACAAATGTCCTGGAGGATTCATAACTGAACTTGAAAGTGTTGTTACCAGGACATACATCTGAGAGTTAATTTAATCTATGAATTTCCTGGCAATCTGTGTCAATAATAATATGATATTTACTGAATGAGCTTAAAGAGCCCTGCGATGTCCAGATTCTTTTCATGCACTTTTTCCTGGTTGCTGGCCCATTTTTGGTCGGTATCGAAATATTAACTGGCACGTTGCATGTTATTCCTCCATGCATTGTCTATTATGTTGAACCAATGCTACTTCTATAATACGCTATATATACATGCTCTTTCTGTTGTTTGATAAATGTTATAAGTAATAAGAGGAAACCTTCTCAAGTCAAGTCTCAAGTTTCTTATGGCTATAATGAGCATCAGTGAGATGTGTGAATGTGTCTCAGCAGCCTGCCGTCTGAAAAACAGACCTAATGGCTCTGTTATGAACAATCTTGTGCACATTAAAATACAGCCTCTTCCAAGTAGTGACAAAAACATGTCCATAAATAAACAAAATTAAATATGGCTGGTTTTAATGTTAGGGCATTATCTAACAAAACATTTTGTATAAATTACCTTATTGCTGTGGGTCGAATGCCCTTATAAAAGCTTGTCCCACAAACTATGTATTCTCCCATTCCTGTAGAGAAGGTAGGAAAGATGGAGGTTGCTGTAATCGGAGCTCAGGCCAAGCTGGTAGATGAGCCCTCTGTAACCCTCAGCGTCTGTCTTTTTATGATGCCGACTTAGACACACAGCCTGGGAAGTCCCAGACGTCACACAGACAAAGGGGGCAAGAAAGATTTCAGCAAACTGTCATAAAACCATCAGATGCAGTCGCTCCAGATTTGCCTCTAGGTTTAAAAATGTCATTGTTAGTAACCCTTTGAGCATCTTGGTATGGACATTGTTCCCCTTAAAATCTGTCAAAGCAAAGACTCCTCGGTGCAGTTCTTTTCCTCAGTTGGTTTCCCCTGTGAATTTTAACTGACCAAGGCACTAACTTTATGTCCACACTTCTGAAACAGGTTTACCAACTGCTTGGCATCAAGAGCGTGCAAACAACCCCCTATCATCTATAGACAGACAGATTGATGGAGCAGTTCAACCAGACCCTGGTTGAACTGCAAATACTAATACTACAAATACTAAGTTTGTCAATGACACTGGGTCTGATTGGGGTCAATGGCTCCCATGCATGTAACATGCTAAACATTACACCTGCTTAACACCAGCATGTTAGCATTTAACTGAAAGCTTCATTCTACAGCTTTGCAGAGCTGCCAATGCAGATGTAGACTGTCAGACTGATAAAAAAAAAAAGTGTGTAAAAAATAATGTTTTTGTAGCAGTCGGTGAAAAGTGGCGTATAACGTGCAGTTATTTCTCCACATCATGCTGCATTTCAAAAACTTGAACTTTATTGCCCCCAACATCGCTGAACTGCTCAAAACTCAAAGTAAAGGAAGTTGTATTGTAAGACAGGTGAGTATCTGTAGAAAAAAACTATCGTTGTCTGTACTCCCTATCAATTTCAACTTCCCTAAAAGTGAAACGGTTACTGTTCATTTTCATCTCTTGCCAATCTGATTTTTCTTTTGTTAACAAGAATGTAGCATCTCCACATACCAACAACCAGTAGGTTTTGTCACTCCCACACAGACAATGCTGAGTGCACCTGTGTATGCAGCAGATACAAACCTTACTGAAAACCAAAATTATCTGGAGATACAGACAGCATATAAGCTAATACACATTTTAATTAAATAAAACAACATCATAAAATGAAAGATTTCCAGTGCTTTTGGCATCAGGTTGATATTGCCCTCAGTAACAAACAGACATTAACATGGACAACAGGTAGAACAAGTCCTGGATGACTCCGCCTTGGCCGTGGAGCACTTTAAAGCAAGGGCTGACACAATAATGATAAAGTGCACAGCAACGACAAGGTCTAAGGTACAGTGATCTTTTAACTCATAATTATAAGTAATGCCTGAAAAACAGACTTTTATTGCTTTATAACTTTATAACAGAAGAAGAAAATCTGTAAGAAAAGTATATGAGCATATGGAAAGAAGACTAAGCACTAGTTATGAGGAAATGTTGTGTATAATCACAGTAGGTTGTTGTAGAGAAGTGAGAATGTTTTAGGTTAAGGTCTACAGCTTTGCTGATATCATAGTGTATTATTGAATCTGACAAGTGAATTATAGTCATATCATCTATCTTCTTGCTGACAAACCCAGTCTTCTATGTTTGAAAAAAACAAATAAAATCACTACAAATTTCTGTTGCATTTCTGACTATCAATATGGCCTTGTGAATTTGACTTTAGGAATTGTTTAGAGCATTTCTGAGAGTGTTTCTGTCTTCCTCAGAGTATTCGACAGGTTGAGGAGAGATGTCTTCAGGGTTGGCTGTGTTGTGTCTCATGCTCCTGCACACAGGAGCTCAGGGGTTTGGGATATTGCCAGGAAAGTCTCTAAATCATCTGGAAATTACAGAGAGAGCAATTTTGAATACCGTTGTGCAGGTGTGCCGTGAGCTGGCCCAAGCTGAGGGGACAGACTTCACGGTTCCTGTAAGAATTCACTTAAGTTACCTTATTTTTCTAGAAAATAGTACGGATCTTAGTAATGTTAGTATGATTTGGCTTTGTGTGTGTGTAGGCACAGCCTTTCACTGCAGAGGCGGTTGCTGTAGCCTGTGGCACGCCAAAATCATCCAAGAGTTTCCGCCAAGCCATTATATTCATCACCTTGATGAACGTACGGGTGGACATCCGTCATGCCCTAAATGCAAGCTTCCACTTTGATGAAGAAATGTTTGTTCAAGGAAGGAAAATCATCACTGAGGGAATACTGGTTGTCAAAGCCAGCAACAAACAAGAAAATTATGAGTCAGCGAGACAAAAACTGGGAGAGATTTTTCATCCTTTACAGGTAATTATCATAAATGTATAGTAATGCTAACTCTATTTGTTTTTAACTGTTTTAAAATATCCAAAGAAACTTACCCTCATCTTATTTTGTCAACTTGCAGGACTTCTACAGTCACAGCAACTGGGTGGAGATGGGGAACACACTCCCAAACTCCAATCTGATCAGATCAGACACCAGCATTGGTAACATAGCAGGTAAAGAGATGGTATGATGTGATGTCTGTCTTTGTTTGGCTGTGCTAACATACAGATGGTAACACTGATGAGGAATGCAGTTCATATGTAATTGTAGAGAAACTATTTCACACAATTAAAATGTTGATTTACGCTTCTACAGATGAAAGCAGGGCAACGTGTCGTAACTGTGATGGAGACGACTGCAGGAACAACATCTTGGAGGATATCATAAACGAGAGGATACTGACCTCTGGATATTTTGGTATTGTGCCTTTTGTGTCAACCAAACCAAAAGGTAAATTATTCATTGTATGAATAATGTGTCCTTTAAAAATGTTTCAGACAGAGATTACTTAGCTTATATCACATTTTGTATTATTAACTAACATGAACAGCCTTCACAACTAGTTTTAGTTAGTCAAATTCTGAATATACAACCAGTTCTTGTTCTGTTCTGCATAAAATCAACAGCCACCTTCCACACAGTGCTTTCACCCTCACATTTTCTGTGGGGTCATATTGTGCTGAAAGTTTGCTCAAAAATGTTTCCAATGTTTTAATTTGAGCTAAAACTGACTTTCAAATGTCTATGGCTTGTGGTGATAATAGGATGTGTGCTATATTTTTACATATACCGGTATAGTCAGGATACACATCCACTGGCTATTTAACAACAGCAGTCAAATCCTGCATTTCTTAGGTTTTCTCTTCAAGCCTTGTTTTTCCTCCTGTAGTTTTGTGCCCACTTCAGTGGCCTTTCCCGTGTTGTGTTTTTGGCCTTAGAGGCATTTTCCACCTCCTCCGTTTAGACATGAGGGATACACCTTGACCTTTTTGCTTTCAAATTATACTAAGTTGGCTGTCTACTTCTGCCATGTATGTGTCCAAACAGTCACACCATCATGGTTGTCAGCTTCACAAAACATTCATGAGAGGATTCAAATGAAAAATTTCACTTGTTGCTATAAAATATCTCAAATTAAAAAGAGTTGCAGACAGCCTATAGAAATAAAAGCAGTTAAAGTATTTAACCAGTAGAATACTCCTCAGAAAAGACATTCTTAAAAACAAAACAGAAATGTGTATTTATCATGTTTCTTTCATGGTATTTGTTTAAAAGGAAAATGCAGTCATGGAGGAGCAGTTGATCAAACAAGTAACATCGAGCCCAAAGGTGGAATCAACAAAGACACTTTCGAATCTAGCCACGGACACCTGCACACCAACGCAGCGAATATGGCGACAGCTGCAACCAGCAAGCTACTAGAGGACATTCGAGGGGCTGCTGGTGACCGACCATTCCTGCAGTATGAAACCCATTCTGCATGTTTCATTTATATACATATACTAATATATATTTAGGGACAAGACAAAGTTTTTCATTTCTTTGTTTTATGAGTCTTTCTCTATCCGCCAGGATGATGGGGATCTCCAAAGGATCCAATAAAGCTCTTTGTTTTGTGATCGACACGACAGGAAGCATGACTGATGACATAGCAACAGTGAAGAACGTCACTTCCTTTATAATCAACAGTGAAGTGGGAACAGAGAATGAGCCCTCAGTTTACATTCTCGTACCTTTCAATGATCCAGGTAGGATCTGTAAGATGCTACAAAATCATTTATTTGCTTGTGAAAAGATTATCGTTCTGTCCAATTTTATTTATTGTTTTTTGGTGGCTGTCTCCACCTGAACTCCAGATTTTGGGCCACTGACAAAGACTAAAGACCCAAAACTCTTCAAGGCTAATATTGATTCACTGTCAGCATCTGGTGGAGGAGATGAGGAGGAACTGAGTCTTTCAGGGCTTCAGGTGTTGTGATGTGACGCTTTTACTACTTCAAAATCTTCCCCTATACAGCCTGTTGATGTGTAAACAACTACAACTATTGTTGCTATTCCATCCTCTCTCGCTCACATAGCTGGCTTTAACTAGTGCTCCTTCAAATTCTGAGATCTTCCTCTTCACGGATGCTCCTGCTAAAGACAAACGCCTGAAGAGCACAGTGGTTGCACTCATAGAGCGGACACAAACAGTAGTGAGTATCTAATCTACGGGTCAGACATCTATTGCATTTTTTTACTTTATTTCTTGACACGTGTAGTCACAAACCAGCAAAGTATATCGCTTTACATCAATCAACATTACAAAAGCAAAAAAAACCAATGACAATTTTATGAGTCTGTTAAACTTAAAGCCACTGGGGGCTGTAAACAGTGTAGAGCTGCAACAATTAGTCGATTAATTGCTGATTGTCAGAAAATCAATCAGCTTGATCTATTCATTGTAAAATAATATACCACAATTGTCTGGTTGCAGCTATTCAAATGTGAATAATTGCCAGTTTCCTCAGTCTTCTATGATTGTAAGAAAACAAGACATTTAATTTGATGTAACTTTGGGCTCTGCGAAGGGATGCACACTTTCCACTGTTTTCTGACATTTTATAGACTAATTGATTAATAGAGAAAATAATCAACAGATAATTTTTAGATGAAGCCCTAAAACTGTTATTTTCCTAATGTGATAAATAAGAACTGAGAAGAATGATTGATTGATTTTTTTTTTTTTCTGAGTTGGTTAACCTAGTTCTCATTCCCCCCTTTTCAGGTTAACTTCATGATTTCTGACTCATCAGTGAGCAATCGTAGGAGGCGGAGTGATGACACACAAAGCAATAGAATAGCAGCATCAGATGCCCAGCTGTACAGAGACCTGGCTCAGGCTTCTGGAGGTCAGGCTATTGAAGTCACAAAAAATGAGCTCCCTACGGCCGTCAGCATCATAACAGACTCCTCCAGCTCATCTCTGGTAATATCACAGAGATTTCCCTGCTAGTTAGTTATTTCAATTTGAAGAGATATGTTGTGTCATCTGGTTAATGTTATCTCCCAGGTGACCCTTCTGCAGGCAGCCAGGAGCCCAGGAAAGGCAGATAATTTTTCTTTTATAGTTGACGAAACTGTTATAACCCTGACAGTTTACATCACTGGGCGCTCCATCACCTTCACTCTCATCAGCCCCACAGGTAACATTACCTTTCCACTTTATGAACACTACAGTTAAAGTTTTATGTGTGTTTAGCTTTATAATTTTAATTTTTTCAATATTTGCAGAACATTGGCAGTCCCCTCTGTCGTCTACACCACATTTTACTCAATCAGATGTTTATGGAATTTGCTTGGTCGCTTTATGTAACAGCAGCATTTATAATAACAAACTTCAGAGGAATCACTGTGATCATTGGACACCACATAAATTGTATTTGTTCACTCGAGTGATTTGATAATTGCTTGCATCGGTGCAAAGAAAAAGGCAGCAAGAATACTTGGTTTGTAGGAAAGATGGTGACTTGTGATGATATGGCTACCAGTCACTCATTTAGATGTTTGTTTGCAGTTATATTCCAAGTAATGTGAAAATGTTTTAATGTTTAAAAATACTAAATGCTGCATGTCTAATTATCAGTATGTTACATAATTCTTGCAACGTTTCATACCAGAGTGCTTATTATTGGTTTCTGTTTGAAGGTGAATCTCAGCAAAGCACTGACACGACAGGATCATTGATCACTGCATCCCAGTCAGTGGGGAACTTCATAACACTGCGGGTAAAAAAACAAGCTGGACTATGGGAAATGAAAATGGTGTCAACTAACCCCTACACTCTGAAGGTCATAGGTGAGAACCCCATGGTTTATTTCATTTAATCACAATATGAATAAGTTCCGTCAGACAACGTTTGAAATCTTTATTAGCACAGAACAGCATAGTTAGATTTTGGCGTCTAGGCTCCAACCTCGATATGTTTACGTAGAGATATTAGGGAGTGATGAGCAAATACCTTAAACCCCCTCACTGGAGCCTACAGGTGGATGCTGGTGGGGCTTACAGAGCAGCAGGCAGCAATACAGATGCAGGCATTGACAGAGCAGAGGGAGAGCTGGGAAATCTTGCCGCTTAAATAGATCACCAGATTGGAAAGTGAGGCATGTCATGGGTGGATAACAGTGCAGCTCAAGTTGACTGCCTGAACTAGTCTGCAGGCTTCGCTCCATTTGTGTTTCTTTAGTGCCTGTTGGTCTTATCAGATACAGGTGAAAATTCCTCAGTTTGTATCCATAACAAAGTTGTTTTGAGAGTGAGCTCCCTCCTTACGCCCGTATGTTCTTCATGTGCAGTAACGTAACCCGTGTGATCAGTATTTTTGATCCTTGTGGCTCGACATATAGTCACCACTGTATTTGAAGCCTTTTGTTGAAATTACCAAGAAATACCAGCCCACATCAAGTTTAGGTTCTGCTCGTTGTTCAGTTTAATTTCTCAGGGATTGTCAGAAGAAATACTACTAATGTCATAACATGAATTTGACCAAATTCTAATCTATCCAGGAAATGTTTATCAAATTCATGCAATGACAACCGTGTCCCCCTCAGGATGAAATACAATCACTTTGGTGATGTGTTCTTCTCATCCATCATCTAGTAAAGTTGTCCAACACTTTATTTCATGACTACTTGCAAAACTAACATTTGCATCAGCATCAGCTGTAGTTTGTTGTCAGCGAAATGACCATCCTTCTTACCTGCCATCCCCCCTCGTCATCCCTTAGTAGCAGAGAGAGTGCAAGGGCAGAGGGGTTGTTTAGTTGAATGTGTTAGTCTAGTATGCCTGACTCATTGATCCTTTATCTGAACGAGGTTTGTGCTAGTGGGAATCTATGGCTCCGACCATGGCTATGAAATATCCGTATCCTAACCGTGGTGTGTATTGAGAAATCTATGTGGCTTTCCCCAGTGTTGAAGTCACAGACAGATTTGTAATTGCACCTTTTTCTCTCAATCGGGGCCTTCTGTCAGATTCATTTTGCATCTATATACTGTATAATACACAACTTGAGCATAGCGTCAGTTCAGGCAGGCCACACAGTCAGGCTCGGCTCTCAGTTCAAGGGCAAGGAGGTCCCAGAACAGAGCCATACCGCCAAATGTAATATTCTGCTTTGGAATAAAAGTTATTTTTGACAAAAGTGGTCCTGACTGAATTAGTATATTGTAGCCTATATACTCTACAGTGTGGTGTCACCTTGACGTTCAAAGTGACAAGTAGCCATGTGTAGTCGTTGAAGAGAAAGAGGATCATAAAGGCCGCTGCTGCCTCTAGTATTCCCATAATATTCCTATAATATTTCTATGCCTTGTTAAAAATAAAAACAATCACTGACTGACTAGCATTTAGCTCAAAGCACAGGACACAATCACTGCTGTTGTCTCTTAATCTTGTGCCTTCATTCTTTCTGAAAGCTAAAGTATGATTCTTGGGTGTGCCGACTATAGTCTAAAGGCTAAATGGCTGGTAATGTTCAAACCCATTTCAACAAAGATGGATTCAACTCCCACAAGGCTTTGCCTCTATAGTATGAAGGAATAGAAAGAGAAACAATGTATGGGATGTTCTTTTAGCAATTTTTCATAGTTTTTCCTCATGATTTTAATTTTCAGGTCAGAGTCCTATTGACTTCCTGTTTGACTTTGTGGAGGCATCGCAGGGCCCGTTCCAGGGATTTGATGCTCTTGAAACACGTCCCAGAGCTGGTAATGGATACTGTTACAATGTGAATGTGAGGATATGCAGATGTAACATATCATCATCAAGTCAGACATAGTGAATTTTCTCCTTCTTTAAAGGTGTGAATGGTAGCTTGTTGGTGTCTGTAACGGGGAGTGACTCCGCCACCGTGACAGAAGTCACTCTAGTTCAATCGTCGGGGTCAGAGGAGATTAAAGGAGTTGTGGTACCACAGGAGAGCGGGAACTTCTTAATTCAGGTTGACAGGATACCAGCAGGGGAGTTTGGGGTGCGGATGAAGGGGCAGGATAACAGTGTTACCTCCAGAGCTTCAGTCGTCTTCCAAAGGCAGTCATCCACCAACTTCAGATCCTCTAATCTGACTATTAGTGTGAGTACTCATCCTAGACCCTCACTGTGTCACAGGAACATTCCATCATCATGAGGATATGGAGCAATTAAAAGTTTAAATGTTCACTTTATAACTGAGTGTAAAAAAGCTTAATCTCTACAAACACTCTTGTCTAATTCCCTCTGTATTTAGGCGGATTCAAATAGCATCTTGGTACCAGGAACGCCATTTTCTGTGCCCTTCTCTGTGATGACCTATGGAATGGAGGGAAACTACACCATCCGAGCCACCAACAATCGACGTTTTAACTCAACATATCCAACCAGTTTATTCCTGGAAGCTAGAAACAGTACTAATGGTACAGTGACCCTCTCAGCACCTCTTAACACCCCATCGGGTACTGACATCACCCTGACCATTGAGGCTGAGGCTCCGGACGGTGGAGATACAAACTATGTTGTGCTGCGTTTCTCAGTCCTGAACCCGGTAATACTCCCAGGAATCAAATTTTCTTGATAAAATTCTTACTTGTTTTACAGGTCTGGAATTTCCTAGGAGGTTTCCTGGAGAAATTTCATTCATAATTTGGTCATGCTAGCAATTATTTGAATGTGTACCAATTGGATAGCATCGTTATTTTCCCTGTAATTACTAATTAGTAACACATCACTTAATTATTTTCAGAAAACTATTGACTAAAATTACCGAACCATAAAATAAAGCTCTCTTTCACTGTACATTCCTTTACTTTCACATTTATTGGTTAACGCTTTGACACTAAACTAGTTGACTTCATGCACTTTTTCTTCTCTTCGTAGGTGACTGACGAGGAAGGTTCAGCAGCTGCTGTCTCTTTCTCCACCAAAGTCATGCAGTCGCCTCTTCTCTGCCTAAGCATCATGGTGTTAGGGCTCTGTATACTGACAGAACTAGACATCCAGTGACTCCATGTCAAAGTTGTGTTTGAGCTCATCTGTCCTTTAGTGGCCAAAATCAATTAATGCATCCTTAAAACTCAAACTGATTTTCTGGCTATGTGCATACTGTTTGCTTAGCTACTATTAGTCTTATACCACTTTTATAAAGGTATAGTGTCCTCTGAAAGAGAGAGCCTAAGGCCTTTGATGCTCTTTCTTCTGCTCAGTGAATGTTTGTGAGCAGGCCTAAATCCTAAAATTGAACAGAGAAGGGGTGCCCAGATAGCTCACCTGGTAGAACTGGTGCCCCCATGTTTAAATGACTGAGTCCTTGCTGCAGCAGCCAGAGGTTTGAATCTGACCTGTGGCCCTTTGCTGTGTGTCATCCCCTCTCTCTCTATCCTCTTTCCTGTCTACCTTCAGCTGTCCTGTCTAGTAAAGACAAAAAACCCCCCAAAATAAACTGCTCAGAGGTTTCATTGATCATCAGAACCTATAATAATATATAAACCTTGAAATGTTGCAACACCAGACAGAAGAGGCAGCCATTTAAAAAAAACACTGTTTTTATTGTCGTCATAATGTGTCTAATGTATAACCCTTTACAGAACACAAAACGTTTTGCTTTTCACATTTTGCTACAAGTTCAACAAATTTTTCTCCTGTTTCCTTTATCACTATTTACATTTTTGAAAAGTTTTCAGAGAGACGTGTTTCCATAAACTGGTCAGTGATTGTCTGATACGGAGGATGATGTGTTTGATACATGTGATATGTGCTTTCTTTGTATCTTTTATGGTGATGTGTGTGCGCTTAGTGGTGGTGCAAGTATGTTACTATGTTTGGGGAAGTCATAGATGCAATTTACTAAAACCAAATCATTAAGTCTTTTTCTGGGATTTTATTTTTGTTACTTTTCCTATACTTTTTCTCACATGGACATTTTAGTGATAACAGTGTTGACTTTATTCAGACCTTTAACCCAACTTGCATGTCCCTCTAACCGACAGCCCCCTCACTCCACTTTCACTCTTCTCATTTCAAATCACTAAAGGTGTGAATATATTAAAATATTTTTGTCATAGCATTAAGGTCCAATATGTAGAATCAACCAGGAAATAATGACCCTACTTATGGATGTAATTTGTTCAAATTTGTTTGATCGTCAATTTGCATTTTTATTGTCAACATTCATGTTCTTACACAATACACACAATAGTACCTTTAAAAGGGCCACACCGTTGGAGTATTTAGGAGAGTGGTTCCTCGTGAATGTGAGGGAAATGTGTTCCTATAATAATAGTGATTCTGAAAGATAGACCAGTTCTTCAGAAGGTGTTTTCATCAGTCAGTGCCATTAGTGTACTGGGAAAGCTTATTCTCCAAGTCACAGATTCTCTTCTCCTGAGACAAAACTGTGGCCTTCAGATTCTGAATCTCCTCCAACAACCTCTCAAGCAACTGAGGCTAGACAGGAGAACAGTCGAGATAAGGAAAACAGGGAAACAGAAGAAGAAAGGAATAAAGACAGTGACAGGGAGGGGAAAATCAAGGGTAAAGAAAAAGAGAAAAAAAAGGTCAAGGACAGTGAGCAACTAGGAAAAATAAAACAAAACAAAGAAGGGAGCTTCGGAAAAAAAGTTGTAGGCAGGTACAAATAGAAGAGAGAAAGGAAGTCATTATTTTCTATTAAAAGTGTCTGTGTCATAAAGGTAGATGAGTAATATTATGCTATATATGTAATAACAGAAAGAGACACACATACAGGATAAATATTATGTAATAACAACAGGTAATATAATGCGTGACACAACTTACCGGCAGACTGTTGGTGTCCAAAGTAGACATGCTGCGTCGGGTGGTGGGTCTGGACTCCAGCACGTTCTTCTTTGCCACTTTCAGCTCTCGGCTCTTAGGCGGCATATAGCCCCCCCTCATGGACACCAGAATTGGGTCTTCGTCACGTCCATCCAGCCACTCCTCAGCCTCCATGGCGGGCTCAGGCCCAGCTGTGTCCGGGTAAAGGTCATCCTGGAAGAGGTCCGACTGTGCAAGAGAGTTGGCGACGGGGAAAAGGAGACAAATGTGGCTTGTTTTTGAAGAGTTAATCAAAATTATTTATAATTAAGTATAGGTACTGGTATCAAAATGTACTTAAAGTATCAAAAGTAAAAGTACTCATTATGCAAAATGGTACATTTTGCATTAGTATCATTAACTGATTATTACTGATGCATTGACATGAACCGTACTTTAATGTTGTAGTAATAATAATAATTTATAAACTGAATATGTTTGTGTGTTTATGTTTTGTAAAAATATAAATCTCAAAAGTAACAAGTAACAATCGCTTTGGGGTAAAAAAAAATTTAGTGGAGTGATATTTCCCTCTAAAATGTGTCAATGAATCTCAGTGAAAAGTCGATAAACTCGTATGATCAGTGGGTCAGTTGGACTTACTTTTCTGGGCACTGTCATTGTGATGGGCTCACACTTCTTGTCAAGAAGCTTGAATAACCTGAGAGGACCAGGGAAGAGATGAGACAGAGGAGAGAAGACACCTGTCAGTTGTGCTTTTGTTACACATGTATCAACATTAAGCATAATATGACCTATCTCATGCACTCTGAGATCATTGTCAGAGTTACATGATGGATAATTCTTCAGATCTGGTCATTTGTTCCTTTAGGTTTTTTTAGCGCTGGTTTGCTAAAATGTACCAAAAATGACTTACAAAAAATATGGTGAAGCAGCTTTTTGTTGTTATGAGCCAAAGGTTGGAACAAAGTACCATCACAAATAT